TCCTCCCCCGCAGCGTACTTTCACCAACCTAACGGTTCTGGCCCTCGTGTTAACGACGCCACATAATGTGTGTTTAATAACGCAGTATTTTGATAAGATGAAAACTTAATATTTTAATTTAGAGGAATGGAGTTACTCTCATTGTTTCTATAGTTTCTCTTTGGAATTAGTTAGTTTCTAGGTTTATAATAGAAAATAATATATATGTGTTTTAGGGTCTGCCCGACTGAAGAGTGACGTTGCGAAACAAGTGATATTCAGTGATGGCATTCGCCCTGGCGGAGATCTCACAGAAGTTGAAACATCTTCAGAACCGCGGGTATTGAGACAAACGGATGTGACAGTCAAGAGAGTGAGCAATTTATCAGGTAATTTAATGTAATGTTGGTGCCTGTAAGGGCGTGCATGTCTGTCTGTTGCTAAATTTGTAAATATAGTTTCAGAGAATTATTTCCTCACAAGTATAATATTTAAAGACTGGTTAAAATTTTTGTAATTGTGCAAAATATTACGTCAATTTAGACTTTTCAAACCTAATGAATCTATGTAAAGTATCCCCTAGAATTAAATGATCAGTTTCAATTTCAAGTGGCCGCAACATCATTCAAATTGATTGGGGATTATCAATTGTGGAGAAAATCGGCGGAACGGCTTAACCAAATTGGCTATCATTGTTCCTTAGCACATGATATGCTAATACATATTATTATAATGCTTTAAAAAACATAATTTGTAACTACATTACAAAATCAAAATATATGTAGGTGCTACGGTGTATAATAAACAATAAAATAAATACACACGACTGTTGGAGTCATTTTCAAAATGCATTTAAAGTCAATGTGATTTAAAGGCGAGAAATGGAAAAAAATGTTTTTGTTTCTTTTTACCTAAAGCCCAGCAGTCGAAAAAAAATCTGAAAAACAGCAACAATGATTTGTGTTGTGGGAGGAACGTTTGAGTTTTTTTAAACTTGTTCCAGGGTTCTAACACACAGTAAAAATATGTTTTGTTATTTTTTCAAAAAAATTTTTTGTTTGAATTTGGCATTGAGCACATGTGTAAAAAAATGTTTTTCAAATAATATAAATTATTTTATTATTTTTCATATTATTTTAATCACAAAAAATAGTGTTAAGGTGACAAAAATAAAATAAAAAGCATGTTTTTGGCTGTAGATGGTTGTAGATGATGGGATGTGGGCTAAGAAACCTTACAAAAATCTTATTGTTATGTTACATTGTAACTACTCATATGTCATTTGGTTTAGGTGGACCTTTTTACCATCTTATCCAGGGGCACCCTTTCTATGCTTCACTTGATTTTGTACTCCCCATTAATTTACTAATTTCTTTACACCTACTTCTCCAGTTCATTTTTTATTCTCGACACATTTCTTTTAACATCTACTCTTACATCTTCGTAACATCCTGTAGGCAACCACCTTTTGTAAGCTTTTCTCCTTTCCTCGAGTTCTTCATTCCACCATTCACATCTTTTATGATTTTGATATATTAGTCAGGCATTTCCCACTGACATGGTACTAAAACCTAGTGCTATGTATAATTGGTATTTAAACTTTGTTGAAGCTTTCTGAAGCGTACATACATTAAACACATACTGTTTGAGAATACTGTTTTCTTGCCTACCATCTTTGTCTACATAATTTACATACTTAAAAACGACAATCTTAATAGGAAGTGATCTGAACCAAAATCTGCACCCTTACAACCATTGTATGTAGAATTTTTCGTTTGCTTTTTCACCACGAGATAATCTATAATTGAGGAAGAAATAAAAGACGTCATCTACGTCAACTTAATATGGTTATGTAGAGAGCCGGCTTTTGTCGTCATCAGTCTCGCTGTTGTGGCAAAAGTCGGGAGACGCTTGTCTCACAATATGTCCTACAAATTCGATGTGTTCTTTAAAAAATACACACTTACAATGATTGAGGTGTAAATTTTATCTCCGGAGTTGATTTAAACATGAGATAAGATTCACTTTGCGTTCTTCTTTCATTTCTCCGTGGACTATAGTGACTCAAAGTACTTCTCTGACTTTGGCACATGTCGTAGAATTTGGTCGATAATTTTGTTGAACTCAGCAGACCCTGTTTTGATACCGAAAGGTAGTCGATTCTTTCGATTTGTTCCTCGGCGAGTCGAAATTGGTTGTATTTCACTTGATTGCTCATCTACTGGTTGGTACATGCAAATTAACTCATATTCATCGTCGTCCTATTCATCTTCTTCCCAAAAGTGCTTCGCATTCTTCTGGTACTACGTAGATGTCCTGAATGAAATGTCCATTATACTCCACATTGACTCCAATTTTCCCATCCTCAACAAAAACATATTTTGTGTACGATCTAAAACTTTATCGAAACGAGTTCCAATAGTACGTCTAATTTTAGTTGAACAAACTAATTTCGAGGCAAGGAAGTATAACCAGAACTTGAATAGATTTCAAATACAACGGGCTTGCCTTGGATTGTCACTTCAATCTGGAAACGTTCAAAATCTGACACTGGAGCTAGATTCCGGTAAATGTCTATTTGATCTCCTCCATACCTGTGTACAGGGACCTCTTCTTGATCTTCTCAGATGTACTTTGTTGATGATTGATGAATAAAAACTCCTCGTAAGTTCTTTACATATGTTTAGAACAAAAAACACCCTGAATGTTGATACACGTGTTTTACCACAAAGGATCGTGCAGCAGACGAGAAAGAACTTGAAACTAGATGTTCAAGTGCACGAAGGATACCTGGCACACACGCATATCACGCATTTCTACCATACTCGAAAAGTACCATAATGGAAAAAGAGTTTCAAAATCTGAAGGTATATTATCTATGAAAATTTGTCGAGATTAAAACGGGTAACTTTGTGTTTGTTTTTAGTCAAAATGTTGCTTTTTAAACTGTATATAAGACATTACGAACATAACTGTACATTCCCAGCGCCTGCGTGCCGAGATGCATAGGTGAATAGTGAACGTATTGTTGATCAGTGTCACATGCTCGATTATTTCATCGTGAAAATTGTCACAAAAAGAGAATTACATGTAGTTTTATAAGTTGTGTGGAAAAATGAAGTATCTAGTGATGATCGTTTTCAAAATTGCGTTCATATTTTTTTCAAAAATCATTTAAAAACAATTTTTAAAACTTTTAGAAGTTGTAAAACATATCAAATCATGCGTATTTAATTACCTTGAAAATTAGATATATTTTGTCTTTCTACTTTAAATCCTTTCAATGTTATTGCATATTCAAAATATTGATGTGCCGAAGATCGCGGTTTTGCTCAAACTTTAAAATAATCATAACTCTGAAATTATATGCACAATGCCAAAACAAAAAAGCATCATCAATTTATTCGTAGTTGACACAAAAAAAAAAACGGCATCTGAGTAGTCAAGTTAAAAATAGTGTTCATAGAAAGTGGTTGCCGCGAAAGCTTGTAATAGTTCGGGCCCAATAGGTTGCAGAACTAAATTTCAACCGATCCCGCCAATCACGGGATAAACGAAATAACTGTAATTTTGCTTAACAGATACGAAACGTTAACCGTTAAGAAATAACAGTTTAACTGAACTGCCCCTTGGCAGTATAGGGGAATGGCTTCGTCACGCCTCCTGAGGTGCGCCATGATGCTTTCTAAGTTGCCGAGCTATCGCTTGTACACGTTACCCCTCTCCATTGATCGTGGAATAAATTATATGTTTAAGGTGCTTCATAGAAACCGTTGTCCGGTAAACTGTGTCCGGTAGATCCGATGTCGCCTCCAGCATTCGTTATTCATCGTTGCCTTTTCGTCTGCGGACCGGAGGGCGACCTCCGATAACGGACCAACTAACAATTTAGTAAACTGCTTTTGGAAGATGTGCTTGCCTCGCGTATGATCCCCCGTCACGACGAGGGCGGAGTTTACAGCTTATGATGGCCGCCTTGCGAACTGATGTGATTGGTGGACGGCGCGGAGGGCCTGTCACTTATCTTCGCCGTCGCTGCTCTCACCGCTGTGTTAGTCTTGCTCAGTGTCGGCAGTTTCCGATTGATTAATGATATCAATTTCTTTGCTTATAATATGATCAGTTTTGACATTCTTCCATGTTTCGAACATGACTACAGAAGTGTTTCCACAGATCAGAATATTCCTCGAACACTTTTAGACAGAAATTTTCTTTAGAGTCTAAAGGTGAATCCACACATTCTTATTCCTGTGCATCACTATTCGTGATTAATATATTATACGATATATCCCATATAATTCAATCGGGAGATCAGGATGATATGTGACCGTGTTGCATGGCACTTTCATCTATTACTTTGTGAAGTATTTCTCGTGCTTGCCCTCTGAAGGGCCTGCCTGACACTGAACTTGGCTTCGAAGCCATAATACACACTAATCACTGAGTCACTATGTTATTCAAAACGACGTTCGTTAGTACTTTTGTTTACAGTTTAAAATTAGGGCTACATCAGAAATCACAACACGAACGTTGTGGAAAGCGTAGTAATACTGAGCTGTCTGACCAGCTGGAGTCGATTCGAGGATCGGTTGCTGTATTTTGTTTCATTAAGTGTCAATGAAAGGGGACAGGGTGCCTGGGCTGTGTTGTTTCCGGGTCCTTGATGTTGCCTCAGAGTTCGAGCTGCCTCCATGCCCCTCCCCTTTACCACGCACGCACGTGCTCGAACGAGAGCGAAATCGCAGAGTGAAGGAGGGGGAACCTCTCCGCTCTCTGAAACTCGTCTATGCGCACTCGGAGGGAGATTTCTGATTTATCCTCCCGTAGTAATGGAATTATTCTTTCTCTTCAATGGCAGCATTCTCGAATATCCCGGTCTCATCATAAAGAACGATTGGAACTGATTGGCTTTATGCCCAGCTCTAGTGAGGGAAAAAAGCCCTACAACTAAATTTATTGTGGAAACTAAATGGTTTTCGCTTACATAAAGAAGAATTAAGGTTAATAATCTCTCTACATCGCCCTTTTATTAGTTCTGCTGGAAACTCATCTTCCTCAATATCTCTTCTTTTTGCGCGGCTTTGGAAGTTATCGGTTCGACCAACATAAAGTGCTTTGCGATGATAGTATTGCGGTATTTATCCGTGATTCCGTGTTGTCGGAGGAATACAAAACTCGAACCGACCTTCAAACCGTCTGCGTGCGACTGAACCTACCATTGGTTTCTCTAACGATGTTACACATGTTTATTCCACTTGACTAGCCATATCAGAACAACGCTAAGATGTTATTCCGAGCTCCCCCCGCCTTTTAGCATTATTGGTAAATTCCCACTATCCATGTGGTGGCACGAGGTGCTGCCCAGGTACTATTGATAATACTATTGACAATACTATTGACAAACTCTTTTCTTTTCTTTTCTTTTTTTTTTTTTTTTTAATTCTGGAAATTATACTAAATTTTCCATGGCTTTGACCTCTTCTTCATCCATTGATCTAACATTCTTCAGTCCACGTCAATCTACCATCTTCGAGTGGACTGCTCTTGATGACTTGCAGGGTAGTGACCATTTTCTTACTCTGGTCCAATTTGATATTCCAGATCTTAATGTTACTTTCCCATTTCCCTGGCTAATCCATTGACCTGGTAAGGTACATTCAAGAAAGAAATGCAAATAAATGACAATTGTTCTGATGATATATGTGCTATTGTGGCGCATTTTACTGATGGCGTTCTTCACGTGGTCTTAATTGAAATACTGAAATCTGTGAGACGGCCACGATGTCATCATGTGCCTTGGTGGATAGTTAATTATTTAGAAATAAATCTTCAATTACACTCTGGAGACACTTTCTTACTAGGGGAAGTGGTAATTTTGAAAAGACACTGAGCAGGGGGTACTACCCAACATGAGGAATTTTTAGTTACTAAAACCAAACATCCCCTGTCATCCATCCTCTTTGCAGAACTGCCTAGAGGCGTTACACAGAGAGTGGAATAATGACTGTCACATATGCTTCAGGCTAGTTTCGTTAACTGCTAATGTTACTCTCTGTTTCTGAAAGTTCTGTAATTTTTACCTATCTTCAGACTTTTTTTGTTATGATCATGGACTGTTTCATACTGCCATTTGATACTATTCGTTTTTGTTACTAGATATTTTCTTAATATTAAACGAAGTGCCTCCTCTCCATGCTCACTGCACAAGAAATTAAAGGTTCATCAGATTGAAACTTATTCGTCTTCTTGCATCCTTCCATGACTACAGACTCTTGTGTCCCTGTGAAATTGCACTTCTTACATCTCGCTGCGAGCATTGCAATGATCAGGCATGCCCTACAGAGTCAGTGTAAAACCTATTATTTTGAAATTATTCAATAATTATTTAAGAAAGAAATGCTAAAAAATCATTTTTAAACAGTTTTTGTGAATTAATACTACTAACCACAAGTCACAAGTATAGAAACTCACATTGAAATAAAGATGATAAAATAGAAAATTGAAAATGATTTAATTAAATAAAACCTGTATCATTTCTTCCTGTGGTATTTGAGTTCTAGTAGTTCCATTTTTTGATGAAACATGTGTGCAACAGTAAACAAAATGTGTGGATTCAAATATTGCAGCATAACTGTAGACCTGTAGAACTAATGATGATAATGATAATGATGATGATAACTCAAACAGCTAAGAAACTCTCTGATTATGGTGATCTGCTTCCAAATTTGTAGGATTGCTGTATTCTACAGTGCGTCTCTCGAGATCCTTTGATGTCAAAGCAAAAAGTTTTATTTCAAATGATGGTAAGTAAACATTTCATCTTTTTTTCTTATAGTTAGTATTGTTATAATTTCATAAGCAAGCCTAAATGTATTTATTATGTGGCCAGAAGGAAATAATTGTGTTGATTTGTTTTGATCCAGGTCTTCCTCCACTGGCTGTGATGGATAAAGGAAATCTGAATTTAGAAGATATACCTTTCAGAAATATGCCTCACTTCTTGGCATCATTGAAATGTGAAACTAACCCCCCTGCAGTATTTGCTTTAAACAAAAATCTTTTTGTGAAAGTGAAGATTCTTAATTGTAAGTGTTATTTTAATTCAAATATTTATGTTGTTATACCTGGGATTCGTTCTATAAATAATTATTACCCGTGTCATTCTTTAAATAATTACTGTATAATTTTTTGAAAATGGGAGTGGATATTGTGTAATTTTTGTTTGAAGTAAATGTAATTTATAAGTTTGTTTGTCCAAAACAGACCAAATTTTTTTCTATAAATTCTTTCCTAGAAAGAGCAAAGTACTCTTAATTGCATGAATGGCTGTTTGGCTGTACTCTCTGAATTTTCGAAGATTGCAAAAGTTACAAATAATGTGAGAAAGTATGTTCTGTTGCCTACCACTAGTTCCACTTTTGATTAAGTTTTCTTCTTCAATATTTTCTTTTCTGTTTGGTTAACATTCTCCTTGAACATGAAGTTTCTTATTGTAGTTTTTGTATCTACATAATACATATTCACATATTACAATACTTCATACTTTGTTCCTATTTTGGTTTATGTTTTCACGTAAGAGATAGAAAAATTTGTCTTGTGCGACTTGTTTGGTGCCTTTACCTTCCAGTCCGGGGGTTTTAGAAACTTTTGATTGCTACATTTCCATTTCATGGGAGTTTCTAATAGATAATACACCTTTCCAGTACCAACACGGTCCGCTGTGAAAGAATGTAAACTGTACTGACATCAAAATCTCTTAAAAACACTTGCATTTTTAAATAATGATACCAATTATTAATTTACTAAGAAGAAATCAATTATATGTTTAAAAATGGTAAATGATGCAGGAAATATTAGTGTGCAGTATTTTTGTACACATACTGTCAAAAATTGTTATGACATTCCTAGCTGTAATTAATATGAGTATTTTACATAAAATAAAGTATATAGATAGATAGATAGATAGATAGATAGATAGATATCTGTGTATATATATTTGTGGAAAACATTTAATCCTTTTTGTCTATTTCTAAAAATATCTGTGCATTTTCATTTGTTTACTAGTGGATTGCTGTGTGAATCGCGTATGTTGGTGCTTTTCGACTGAAGGAATGAGCTGTGTGAGCCAAGATGAAATAGTTATTATTTTGGAATGTTTACCAGAAGACAATTCTGTACCTACCGATATATTTCATTTTCTTAATTCTTTGTACCATGATGCAACAAAAGGTAAGAGTTATAAAATAATCAGTATGCATTAATTTTTGTCCTGCAAATTTAAATTGTTTACGGAACACTTTAAAAATTCAATTATAATCAAGTCAAATGGCTGTAGATAGGAGTAATGGAAAACATTGCTTGTGGTTTTTTGTGTTGAGCCATTTTTCTTATGAAGTTACTGATGCAGTCTTATTTAAGATATTTCAGAAGTTTCGATTTATTAATAGTTATTAATGCATCTATGGTTTTAGTGTTTTTTCTCTAGAGGGCGACTTCCAAACCTAATCAATTGATAGTTGACAAACCTGATCAGTAAATCAGTTGACAGTGTGGTGTCAGTTAAAACAGAGGGCATAATTATCTATATTTAGTGTTCTTTTCAAAGCAGGGGTGTGAAATTTTCATAATCTCTTATATTCAAGTTGGTGAAGTTGGGATTGGGGAAGATCGAGGGAGTGTCCTAGTTCGTCAGTTTTGAGTTAGGTTCAAGTTTGGAAATGTAGTTAGATTTGAGGTAGTCCAAGCTATGCAGTTCGAATTGTGAGGTTTGAAATCTTAATTAGGTATATGTTTTGATGTTCGATTTCATGAGGTTTGAGATGGTGATTGAATTAGAGAAGTTCAGGTTAATTTTTCTTATTTAAACTCTATGCCAAATATTTATTTTCAGTGTATTTTCCAAATATTTTTTATGAGTTTAAAATTAGAATGCTTAGGTCCCTATAGTCATTTGATTACCTAGGGTGTTCAGTAAGTTTCCCATGGGCGACTTCTAAATTCAATGGATGATTCTAGATTCCATTCGGCTGTGTCTGAGGGATTGGAAGTCATGTATGGAACAAAAATATGAAAGGTCCGTGGCGCCTACAAAATTGTATGCAACTCTTTTTTTCCATTTTTCAGTTTTTTTCAGGTAGATAGGCCATTATTACGTATTCATTGTGGCATTGGGCTTCCTATGTCGAAAAGAAAAACTGATCCCCTTTTTACTGAATGTAATTAAACTCTTTTTCTTACCTTACAATGACGACACACATGACACAACAACCAAAAAGCTCTAAAACCACACCCAACCTTACATCACAATAATCCGCTTCATGATTTGAGTGGCAAAATAACTTTAGCATTAAACTAATATACATAAAGTCTGTTGGAAAGTCTCAAAAATATTATCAGTTTTACTACAAACTCCCATTTTGTTAGTTATGAATGCATTCACTTTCTTCTGACAAGACTGAAATTTACACATTTAGTGTTTGGATTCATTAAGATTACCAATCACCCGCATGCCAGAATATCACTTTACGTTCAATCACTTCTGAACTTTCCTTCCATTTTGAATACCTTCTCACTTTCGTTATATTTTATGTCAAGTAGGAAATCTTAACACAAAATTAAACAGCATGCAATCAATTACCAGTGTTTCTAGTCATCATGTAACGAGTCCGACACCTCCAGCTTATTTATCAATATCCTTGAAATCGCTGAGAAATGTCTTGCAGAGAAACAAGTATGTGCTGTATAGAAGCATTTTTTTTTAAGAGCAAATCTCTATATTCAGGTTTAAATTATTGTCCATTCAAGGTTACAAGCTGGAAGGAGAGGGGAATCCTGTCATCCAGTCAGGAGCTTTGTTGCGACTTAAATTTTTGGTATTAAAGCTTCCCATTGGATAGCAATGTCCCCCTCCCCTTTCAGCTTGTGACTTGGAGGGACCCTACATTTAAATCGGAGTATATCTCGGAGGATCAATACTCTCATGTCATTATATCTGAGGTGCATACAACTATAGAAAAACTAAAATTAAGAAAGAGCCAGGACATGATAGAATCACAGTGGAACAAATGAAATATGGTTTATCAGAACAAGCGAAAGAAATTACTGATATGTTTAATAATATACTAGAGAAAGAAGAATTTCCAAATCAATGGTTGTTAAGCATCATCACCCTAATTCACAAGAAGGGAACTAGAACCGACCTAAATAAATAGAGACCAATCAGTCATGAGTCAAATTCATACTAGGTATTTGATATGATAATTAACAGAAGAATAACAAGGAAACTTGATGAGGAACAACTGCCAGAACAAGCTGGTTTTACAGCTGGCTTTTCCACAACTGACCTCCATGCAACGAAGCAACTTATTGTAAAAGTACAGGAATTCAATCTGAAACTTAACATAGCCTTTGTAGATTATAAAAAACCGTTTGATTCTATGGAACACTCTGAAATTATCATGGCTTTGAAAATGCAAGGGATTCAAGGTAAATACCTTAGAATTTTATCAAAACTTTACATAACAAGCGTTGCAAAAGTAAAAACAGAACGAGAAGCAGAGCAATTTCTTTTGAGTAGAGGAGTGAGTCAGGGCAACCTAATTTCACCCAAAATTTTCATTTGTTTGCTGGAAAGAATCTTCTGTTCACTGAAATGGAAAGAAAATGCTGGAATTAGAATAGATGGAAAATATTTAACCAACCTAAGATTTGCTGATGACATTGTTTTGTTTGCTATATCAGCTGAAGATCTAGAAAGTATGTTACAAGAATTAAATTAGCGTAGCATCTAAACAAGTCTACACATGAACCTACAAAAGACAAAAGTAATGACCAACTATCATGAAGTATCTGTCTCAATGGATGGCAGGCAAATACAATATACATAAGAATACACATACTTTGGACAACTTATTTCTTTTCAAAATAGAACTGATAAGGAAATCAACAGAAGAATATCTGTAGCATGGAATAAATTCTGGAGTCCTGCTTTCATCCTAACAGACCCCAAAGTAAGCTTTTACATTAAAAAGGATTCACATGTTCTGCCTGTTCTCGCCTATCGCTCTCAGACTTGGTCATTAACTATTGCTCAAATATCAAGATTACAAAGAAGTCAAAGGAAAATGGAAAAAAAATCTTGGGAATCAGCTTGAGAGACAGAATTCGAAATGAGGAGATACAGAACAGGACTGGGATACCGAAAGCAGCTACTCAAGCAGTACAATTGAAATGGAGTTAGTGCAGGCACATCGTGAGGTAACGGCCACAACTCTGGACTCACTCAACAGTATGGGACTCAAGAACAGGCTGGTGGCATCCAGGTAGGCAGCACAGATGGTGTGATGAATTTAAGAGCAAGCTTGGAAACACGTGGTTAAGGGAAGCGAGAGACAGACATGTAGAAGGCATCTACAGAAGTCTGTGACAAAGAGAAAAATAACATAATTTGTGGGTTTCAAGGTTATTGTTTTGTTTTTGTAATATACTTAATGTGAAAATAGGTTGAGAGTAATGGTCAAGCGAGAGACTGAGACAGGTGTAAGACATTAAGGGAAGAGTTGGAGGCAAAGAGTAATTCTTCATTTTGTGTAAAATTGTGTTGTATACATAATCTGTTGTGTAATTTCATTTTGTGTAACTTTGTGTAAAGGCAATTTTATTTGATATAAATGTGAAAGCCAACTTTTCATCCTGCTGAAGCAGGAGGCCTGTGCCCATTAAGAGATTTTGCAAGCTCAATAAATAAATAATTAAATATCTCATTTGTATTACACAAACAAATGTCAATATACAAATGACCCTGGACTTTCTCTGAACTTGAATTATTACTGCAAATAGCATAAAGTTACCAGTATGTAAATTGAAAATTTTATGAGGTTACATTACCATGTTTGTATTTATTATAAACTGTACTGAAACATTCCGCTGTTGCCAGTAAATGCTTCTAGCACCAATATTCCATGCGTTCTCGACGTCCTGACAGTTTCAACATTGCAAAAGTACCATGGTGGAAATGTGGATGTTATTTCCACCATACTATGGGGCAGACAAGTTTATTATTTTTTTGATGACCTTCCGCTCTGGCAGTCCACAATAATAATTATAATATTATAGATAATTAAGGAAATTCGCTCACAAATATTTTTTTAATTGCAAACGTGCGGGGAAAGTCTTTCGCTGTCAACAAGGAGAGATGAACCATTTGCTTCGAGTGAGCAAACGATGCCTTTCCCCTGGAAGAGTTTCTCTTCCTCACCTCCCCCTTGGGATTTTGTGTCAGTAGACACTTGCAGTTGTAACAGCTAGCGATTGATCAATGCGTCCTACTACCGGCTCCAACTAAAAATTTTGCGCTAACGTATGTGGCTGGGGAAATGTAGTTTTACATAAATTAGAATATGTCTTAACAATTTAGCCACATAATATGTCAAATAAACAATTCATATACTTCAAACATGTAATTTAAGAACATTTTATCTAGATCATGAACCCTTAAAGGAGAGTATAAAGTGCAATGAAAATACATTGAATCAAAATTATAATGAAAAACGAATATTTAAATAACTGTTAAGAAAATAACCAATTAGTAGTTAACGGTTTTCATGGTCTTTTAAAAAATATTGAAAACTCTAAAAAACATATGTAATCGAATTGGTATTGGTTACTCCAAAGCCTCTGCAATAATACAATAATAGTTACAATCATCTACACATGAAATACATTAAGGAAAGATAATATTTTTTGACAATTTATGTGGGATGTGGGAAATAAAACCCTGATGTGTTCTAGTGCTAGATAGGGAATTTCTCTTAAATCCTGCATCTAACAGATTTAAAACAAAAAATACAAATTCGCAGAGAGAGATATACAAACCAAATTACTGCAACAAAGATTATAATCGTGCTTAACTTCGAAATGATTCGTTTTAGACCTTTAAATTAAGGTTTTCATGTCCCCAAAGGGACAATAGGTTTGTTGGAATAGATCGGGTAACTGGGGATAGGCAGTTCTCGACTTATTTCTTTAGCAGTATTCTATAAAACAATCCCTTTTTGAACCTTTTATTACCTCTTCATTTTGTTTCTTCTGAGTTTGAACTCCGTATCATGGGTTGTTAGAAACTTCCAGAAACCGGAAATATGTGTAAAATTAAATTGAGCGAAGAAGACTGAAATAATCTTTCACGATAAAATTAAAAGGACTATTTGAGTTTGGATTCAGATTAATCTCAATGCTGAGCAATTTAGAATAGTTACTTTCAGTACCAGGCTTATAATACACAGCTCGGTGTGGCCACTATCAAACTGTTTTTACTTATAAAACAATTTTGTATGAAGTGCAGAGTTTTCGCTCAGGACCAACTAGTATTTTAATATGATAGTATTATAATAATGTGATAATTATTAAATATAATAATCTAACTGCAAATATGTTGTTGGAATGTATTATAAAACAGTTGATTCCTTTTCAGATATGAAATTAAGAAATTTCCTCTTGTTTTTCAGGTATTCTTATTTCTGAAATGGGTCATACTATTTTCAAAAATTCTTTGTTTTTGGGATCTTCTGATCATGGGGGATTTTTGTACATACGCCCCTCGTTCCAGTGTTTGCATAAAATTATTTTACCATCTGCCCCATATCTGGTTGGCATCCTGATTCATAGGTAAGAACAAATAAAATTACATAAATTGTATAACATCAAAGACATATTTCATTGCTAATTTATATTAATTGTGAATGAATGTTGAAAAATAGTCATTTTGATACAGAATTGTCATTGAATGTGTGTTAGTATTAATTCAAAGGAAAATTGAACAAAAACTGTGGTGTAATATATACTGTTGTTACATTGTATGGCTCACTATCTTTTGTATTCTGTAGGTATTGTAATAGTTTGTAGTGACTACATTGCGTTATTACTTTGAGTATTTTTAAAAAAAAGTGTAAATAGAGATTTTTCAAGACAAATGTGATAATGATCGCATATTAAGGCTTGAATATGACATAAGGAAGAATTGTTTTATAATAATCAATGGAAAATATTAAAATTTGTTTTTAGATACTGGAATTTGTAAAAGTTAATTAACTTATTTTCTATCAATTTCTAATTATAGAATCACATGATCTAGGACCAAAACATGTAATGTTTGTGTGTTGTGTGTACTGGTTATATTTCATTTCACACAAAGCCATGTCATTTCATGTTGTGTTCGTTAGTTAATACTGTGAAACATTATCTAGTTTTGTGAATGGAATGTACTTTATGTTTGTGATTAATTTTCCTGTAAGCCCTTGGTAATAGTATAAAGATTACATTTGCTCTGACTCTGAGATTATTGTGTAACACAGGGTCTGGTTTTAATGTTCATTCCTGTATCTGAAGAAGTGGGGCTTTATCCAATAAGAATGGGAGATTATTGAATATCAATCTAATATTTTCCACCATCAGTTAATCGTTTTAAATTTTTTGAGTAACCAGTTATTTTTTTCACATATGCCACAACATGGAAGTAAACATTCTATGTAATGATTTCCGATATTTTTCTTTTAATGAAACCGTGGAAATAGGAAATAGGTGAGGTGACACTGACACACTGGCGACACGTATTCAAAGTGTTAATTTAAAGAATTCGATGAATTGTGTGTAAACAAGGAAAAAAACATAGTTCTGAAATAAAATTCCTATTAGAGTGATTTTTTAATAACCAGAAATAATAAATTAAGAAATTCACACATCCTCTTCCTGTACATTTAGGATGAATTAAACATAATTGGGGCGCCTCGATGGGTGAGGGGTTAGCTTTCTGGCCTTTGAACATGCGAATTTGCGGGTTCGATCCCGGCCGAGGTGCATTATCGAAGGTTGAAATATCCACAATAAATGAACCCTGGTGGTATGCCCAGCCCTCCGCCAACATTTGCCCTAACGAGATCTCACTTTCCCCCCACACAGTTCGGATATATTGACTGAGACCGACATTTGGCAGAGAAAGTGAGATGCCTGCTCGATAAGGTCCCAAGACCCATTGGGTTGTTGGGAGTTGGCTTATAAGAAACCTGTGTCGAAAACTCAGGGAAAGCAATGGGAAACCACCCTGAGTAATTCATACCAAGAAAACCCATAATGGGTCACCTAACTTCCGTATATAGAAGATAGGACCCAAGAAGAAGAAACGTAATTAACCATAATTAGTAGTACTAGTATTATTACTAAATATACTTAACATTTTACTTTCACGATTATATTCGTATGGAATTCGCAGTATTTCCTTAAACAACGAACTCGGATAGTCGAAATACCGTACTGGTTTGATGGGATACTATAGCCTCACCATTCCGATTCATTGCCAATTGCTCATGTAGTCCCGCAGAGTTCAAATTTAATACCTACTATACATAAACGATTTGGCTTTGGCAATTCGAAATGGATGAACAGTTCTCTTTTTGTGGATGACAGGAATATTCTTTGCAATTAAGAACAGTAAATAGTTCAATATTAGATTTTCAAATTGGTTTCGTAATAACAAATTAATAGTAAATGAAAAGAAAACAATTTGCAATGCTCTTTTATATTTCAAATAAACAATTATATACTCCATTAAGAATGAACAACTTATGTTAAGGTTTAAAAAAAATGGATCTGTCAATTTGGTCAGTTCTTAGAACATTAATTTAAAAGAATTGGACACAAAATTAAGTTCATTATGTTCAGAATTCTTTCAAATTCAGTCACCCTTCTTACTGCTTGTGTATATTTCACAGCCGTTATTCTTCCAACATGAAATTCTGGGGAAACACATCGTATTGCTCCTAGCCTTTTAGAATAAAAAAAAGAATTGTACGAATATTAAGCAAAGCCTATCCACGTGAATCTTGTAAGCCTCTCTTAAGCTAGAAATTCTACCATCACCTTCCATCTTGGTTTATGAATCAGTGTTTTGTAGCAAAAACAACTTACTCAAGGGTGGAAACATATTTTCAGGGAATGTTGATGTCTGTATATCAATAGCGTAGTAATCATTAAGCTGCGTTTTTATGCCTATTTGCATATTTTTCGCCTTTAGATGAAAACGCAATCTTTTTGTTTAGTAATTCATGTTGAGGTGTTCTGGAGTGTTGTACATAAAATTTATAGAGTGTATAAATGCCTATTTCACTAATAATGCTTCACATTCACTAATAAATGTCTATATTATGTTTAAATGCCTACATGCTGCTTATTTTCATATTTATTGGTCAAAAAGTAATTATCCTTAATACAAAATAAAAAATTGTACTTTTTTCGTTTTTATCCCGCAGAATACAGAGAAATCTATTCCGATTTACTACCACCACAGTGCGTGTATTATGAAACACTTATGAAATCGCCGGTGTAATCAAATTATTTTTTTCTTGCCATATTCCGTTGAATGTTATTGATATAGTTAATTTAGGAAATACATTTCATTTTCTGAATGGGAATGAGGATAAAAAAAAAATTGCGTATATTAAAAGTTGAAATTTGAAAGTTGCAAATTGAAAGTTCTATTTATGAAATTCCAGAGAACCCTAGAAACATGACACAGGTATATGTAGCCAACATTTTGAATAATTATATTTCTAAACCAGTTAGAATGTCTAAAAAGGATGTAATAATTTATAAAAGACTGCTTAATATTTGTAGATTTAAGAGATTGGAACTAGATATATATTTTATTAGAACTGACAAGAGAGAAGGGAATGTGGCTATTACCTGACAAGAATATTACAAAAAGTAGAAGAGCAGTATAAGAATTCTAACAATTACATAATAATTAGTAAATCCAAAATTAATAAAGAGATTAAAAATTTACAAATAATTATTAAGAGATGGAAAGAAAGTCAATATATAGATTGATGAACATTTAAGATCGTTTATCATTCAAGTGATAATGTAGCGAGAGCATATGAACTTACTGAGATTTGCAAAGAAGGCTACCCATTGCGCTCACTTGTTTTTAGTATATGTTCTCCAATATATCAAATATTCAAATTCTTAAACAAATTATTGAAACCTGTATCATTAAATAGTGAATAAGAATATTGTGTTAAAGAAAGTTATAATTTGGTTGAAGAATTGAAACGCATGTACATTCAAGATGTACATATATTTTAAGTTGTTTGGATGTTGTGGCAATGTTCCCATCGATGCCACATTATTTAATTTTACAAGGAATGAAACTTCATTGAATGAAGATAATCCTGAGATTAGTAGGCTATACCAGAAGCAAAAAAAATCCTTTACTATTGTTAAATATTACTTTTAAATTCAATAATAAAACATACCACCAAAGAGGCACTCCTATTGGAAGTGTCTATGTAGCTTTTTTTCATAAATTCTTGTAAGAATTTTGGAAAATGCGATATTAAGACAAAATGATGTAATTTTGTACCATTGATCTGTTGTTAATACCTTACTTATTGTGAAGAAAGAAGAATTAGAATATATTTTCACTTTGTATAATAGTTGTGATGAGAATATAAACTTTACTGTGGAATTAGAGAATCAAAGCCATATAAAAATTCTCGATATATTTTTTCGTAAGTGTAATAATAAAATTATCACCTTTTGGTATCAAGAAGGGAACACTTTTATACTAGCATCACAACATCGCTTCTCTCAAAAAATTGGTTTTATTTATGTAGATAGTAGATAGATCTACCAAATGAACAAATCCTAAATTTCATGTAAAAAGTGTAAACAAGGGTTTAAAATGACTATCCTACCTCCTTTGCTAGAAATTCATTAACGAACTAATATTTAAATGAAGGAATGATGTTGAAAAAAAAAAAAAAAGGATTAAGAAATGAAAGAAGGTCCTTGTATTGTACTACCCTACATTAGTTCTCTTACTAATAAGATCTATAGAAGTTTCAGAGATCTTCAATTTATATTTATGATGGCATACAAGTGTACCAACAAGAATCAAATTCTTAAAAATATTAAAGACAAAGTGGACATTCTGGATACAAATATATTTTTTTAAAATTTATTTTAGGTTGCTTTTTAACTTCTGGATCATTAACGACCACCAAAATAACATTGTTTATCAAATGTTTTGTAAAGATTGCCTACTTACCTATACAGGTCAAAGAGAAATTTGGAGAAATGAATTAATAACTATAAAAACAATATTAAAGAACTTAGAAATAAACCAAACCATACTACTTACCAAACATAGAGTTAAACATGATCACAGATTTTATTTTGAAATTGTTTGTATTATAGACCATGAAAGTAGGGTTTATCCCAGAATGATTTCGACCATAAAAATAAGTGGTTTTCTAGAATGCATCATGAATATTCTTGGGGAAACCAGCTGAGTCTAATTGTTTTGTCGAGAGAAATAGAATGAGCTATTGATCATCACTTAGTCACTCAAAACGAGTTTTAGTTGTATAAAAATAAAAATACAAAAAAATTAAAGAAATCAAATTCCCCCCAGAAGATCGAGTAGCGTTGAGTGACACTAAAATTTTCTCAATTGGTGGTAGCTGCTCTGGAGGAGAATTCTAGCGACCGGCTGCACTGGTCGGTAGTTTCCCGTGGTTTTCCAAACAATAACAGGCGAGTGCCGGAGGAACCCTAACGAACGGGCGACGGACTGCCTGCAATCTTCTCTTCTACTTCCTTGTGTTCTCCTTTCTCCTTACACATGTACTCGTACGTGCACTACACTACGAGTACCACAAGTATCGGGATCTTAGAGCTTACTCTGGCTGGGACGGACCCCCACTGGCAAGATGAGGTAACCCTGCAAGCCGGCTTGTAGGTCAGCGCGAAACTTACGTTCTTCCGGGAAGGAACACCACCCCACCGTTTCCCGAGATAAAAACACTTCACCGACGGGTGTAATGATTATAGCAGTTGACGTGGCCGGAAATACGAAATAATCGATTGGTGGCGTGAGTAACGAACGGACACGCGTTTGTCCATTACTGAATAAAGGATAATGATTATAAAATTTTTTTTTACATTATTGTTGGCGACTAAGGACGACTATAGGACGACTAAGTCACCCGGCCTCTGTTGTTTTGTGGCAAGGTGTTACCGGTTAATCATTTGCCTAACCGGTAACTAAGTGTGATATCTCTTTGCAATCTGTTTGTGTGCGAAATTTAGGAAACGGCTTCCTACGTCCAGAGTTCCTATACGAGAACCGAGATGAGCATGAGTGTTAACACGTGTGTGTGAAGGTACTGGACCGTGACGGTTTTAAGAGCTACCGCTGTGTGATATTTGGGATGCTTGAGGGTACATTTCACTGTCAATATTGTTCCCAGCGGAGCTGTACTTACCGCGGGAAGCCCTGGCATGTCCTTTGTAGTCGCAAATATAACAACAGCTGAGATCAGTGATATTTACTGCTTTGTTGTACTTCAGCAAAGCTGAGCATCCGTTTTTTCGGAGTGTCGCAACCTGTAATTCATCTGAGTCAAACGTCCGACGAGTAGATGGATAGGAGCAGACAATTAAATTGTTCATTTCATTTTGTGTCTAACGGATTATTTTCCTCTTGAAATTTTCTTTTCTTGTGATTTTATTCATGGACCTGATGCTACTTTTGACTCTAAATTCTGAATTGCCGAATTATTACATTTTTTTAGCAACGTACAGCGTTACGCAAAGGGTCCAGGACCTCTTTTTCTTATCAATTGATTACTACCACTTCTATCATGCAGATCAACACTTTTTGCCACCCCTAACTGAAGCAGGCCCTCGCTAGTATTAGTTTAAAAACATGCTTGTGCTTGCAGAAAACTCTGTCTCAAACTCTACCTTCACTTGTCACCTCTGAAAACTTTTTAAGAATTCAACCCTATACTGAAAATGAATCAAACGCCAAATTTGCCGCCGAGTCAAACATACATCCAAAATTTGTATTCAACATTGATGTAATGTTGCCAAAATGCTGAGTAATTGTAACATTTCGCAAGATTTAGAATTTCGTGTTTTTTTTAATATGTTTAACATATGTCGCTGAGTAAGATATGAAGGGGTCCAACTTTCTGGTTTTAAGCATTCATTTGTAAGTAAAGTTACGTAAAAAGTAAAAACATAAGTTAAATGTTGCATGCATTTCAAGGCAATTGGTTATTATAATATGCTTATAGTTTATTTGCTTTTCAGTTATATCTTAGACAGTTTTTAATTTATTGTTTAGGTGGGAAATTCCTTGGGCGAAATTGTTCCCTATTCGCCTGATGTTGCGGCTGGGTGCTGAATTTCGCTATTATCCATGCATGTTGGTTTCAATTCAGCAACGAGAACCAGTCTACTGTGAGATAGGACACACTATCATGAATCTTCTAGCAGTAAGTATAAATCGTACAGTTGCCACCTGCGTAGCGTAATTATTTCATGGGACACCTTAAATCCTTAACATTTTATTCAGTACAATTAATTTTCGCGATAAATTTAGGCTACAGCCGTGTGTCAAAATGATGTAGATCTGTGCTGCTCAAATGCTACAATTGAAACCAGAAGAAAGATAACCCGGTTGTACGCTGCAGTGGCCGCGTGCCGTTTACCTTTCATTAGACTAGAGCCGATGGCGCCCGATTATATCCCGTCCTCTCTTCCCTCATCGGGCTTTTTCGAGGAGTAGCGGGCGACACCGGTGGCCGGCAGAGAGGCAATGGGCCGCACATTTGAGCAGCCCTGATGTAGATCATTGATGTTAAAGAATGTATACTACGCCTCAAAATATAGGTTTATCAAATAATTCCCTTTCTTTTTCCTTATATTCCCTTCCTACACCAAGGAAAATTAATAACGTTTATTGTTTGAAATGTTTTGATGTGTTTATTTTCCAAAATTTCTGATAAGATCTAAAATTTCTAACAAGGTGCAGGAGGTTTAGTTTTTAAATTAATAATTTAATTTTTCAGGTGCCAATTTTCAATTTTAACAAAATAATTTTAAAACATGCCCTAGTATTACCTCCCTTCACTTCTAGATCTGCTCCGTCACATGGTCACTAGTAGAGAGGAAACTCTAAATTCATGGTTGAAATGGGTATCACTACGACTCCAATGGTTGATGGCTTAGGTTGGAATTATACTGCTAAAAAAGTAATTTTAAAACAATTTTAAGCCTAGAAAATAATATGTAGACCAATTCTGGAAAATGTCTCGTAGGTAATATCACAGTGCATTAGAAATTATCTGAAAATTTCCAATATACGAGTGATATGTAATAAGTAGACATCGGATGTTTAGAAAAATCCCTATTTTATTCCAATGAAAATATTTAAAGGGAAATAATATATGGATATAAATAATGGAAATTTAAATATTCTGACGAACTTTTATTTTGCCTTTTTTCGGGTCTTTTATGACGTAAATGCCATTTTAGTCATAATTTGTCTTTTTTTTAATTCTTTTTATTTTCCTACAATTTATGAATGTTTCTTTCTAGTCTTGGTTTTCAATATACGATTAAATCATTTTCAGTTCTACTAATCACATTAATTGTCTACTGGTAATGAATCTCCATTTAAAAAAAATCTAGACTGAAGCTGTCATTTGGGTTTGCACGTTACATTAAATTTGTTGAGCCGAAAAGCTTGCTTTGTGATTTCAGATCGCATTTCTTTGCACAAATAAAAAAAACAAACAAACACAAAGTGCCCTGGGCACTTGCTTGAGCGGTGGGCGCATATGTGAGCGCTGAGCACAGATTTGCGACGTAATCAAAGCACTTGTGCCTCAGAGGTCACAAGTGCTTTGAATACGATGATTCCAACTTCTGACGTTGGTATCTCTCCGTGCCAGATGTGCTTCTGGAAAGTGCGCAGTGTAGGCCGATCATTAGGACTTATCTCTCTGTCGGGCGTGAGGGGCGTCTCTATTTTGCCCGCAATTGTCAGAGTTGTCACCACGCGAAGGACTTCACCGGGGCCTCTTAAGTGTAGTAACTGAGCTCAGTCGTGTAATGATGTCAGCGTCACTCACTAACGACGTATTAATATTCTATCATATTATATTGTTCTTTTGATATTGGAGAATTTTGGGCGTAAGTGCGGTGAAATATATTGATGTCTTTTCCCTACGATTTTAAGTTTTTTTGCATTTTTTCGGTGCTTATTTAAAAACATTTTAGTGCCTTTTTAGGCGCCTTAAAAGTAAATTTTTACTGACTTCCGATGTCAAGTAATAAGACTACTGCACGCATGAAATTTTCAGAATGCGCCAATATTATGTTGTAATTCGCGCTCAGCATGCACACGACAGCGCTTCGCATGATTGATTTACCGCACCTTGTGATGGGCCAGCAGGGAGGTGGCAAGAATAAGCAATATTTCGGGGGGGGGGGGAAAATCGTCTTGATTGGTGCTTACCAGATGTACACTTCAATGCTAATGTTGTTAATTTTACAAGTGGAATGGTCGTAAAGAAACACATGCAAACGTTTAAAGTGTACACCTAAATTACATTTAGAAATCTTAGGATATTTAATTATTTATTTCTCTTTATTTAACATACGACTATAAAAAGAGACATATAAAAGACATATAAAACAACTAAGACGCATAAAACCGCATATACTGTTTAGGGGAAATATTCATTTACTTTCAAAAAGCAAAGACAGGTATCATTTCAGCATTGGCTCAATGTCCTTCAAGAATCTTATAATTAATACTTGTTAGGAGCATATGCAGTCTTCTATATCCAGAAGATACAGAATGAAATTTAAGAAATACACTAGTACTGATTTCCTAAAATAAATATTTTAATTTTCTAAACCCAGCATAGTATAAAAACGTATGCAACAAAAAATTTTACTTGGTATTTGAACTTCTATTTTATTATTTAATCTCATCTGGCATTTAGACAGACGATACGTTAGGAAGACAGGAGTTTTGAGTTTTATTGTGAGACTGTCGATACTGGTACATGATGAATATGGTAGTTTTAATACCCGCCCACGGTAGGTACCATCGTATGGATCACATGTTGAAAGGCCAGTGTTGAGTTTCTTGGCGGCGACAGCTTTATAATAACGCCGACAACACGATTTAATTGCATCATGCAGCAAACTTTTCATTAGTCTGTACTGGGTCAGATCGCTCAACACGCCGGGTTACCGTTACCGGAGCGGCAGTATTGCGTGTGCAACGAACATTGCGACATGTGCTTTGTTATGTTGCCATAAAGGCGGGAGACATTTTAAGCATGCTCTCTAAAAATTGTATTTGAGGCAGCGCTAATGGTGATTCTGGTACACCCTGCGTTGTGTTATTTGGCGACCTTCGAACTTTCTTCTCGATGCCCTCCATTTCACCGCGAAGTTCGGGCTTATTACCCGTCGATTGATTGATTGGTTGGTGATTCCTGGCGCGTCAACTGACAAGGTCATTATTCCCGTAAGTGTAGAACATGTTTCCCTCCGGAAGGTGGCGGTATTCGTCCCCCGCTAGATGGCGAGATCCGGCGCCGACCTACGTTGGCTTGCGCGTATTTTCCCCAACCATGTATCTTCCATCAGTGAGGCACGGCCTCAGCTGGGGCAGCTCTAAAGTCCCAGTTGCTCTCCCACATGTGTGCTATTGTAGTCCATGTAAGTGTGTAAGTAAGGGGTGAGGATAGGACAAGAAAGAGGAAGGAAAGATTTCGCGCGGTCCGTGGCTCATTTGTTAGGGTACTGCTCCGCCATTCGCATGGAAGAAACCACGGAAAATTGCCAATCAGAGTAGCCTACTACTTTAATTATTCTCCAGACAGCGTCTAAATCCGACCAAACTATATACAGCGATATATAGTTTAATATATAGCTAGTGTCGAATATCCAGCCACTCTCGGGACTCGATCCCTGGTGAGATGCACTGCAGTCAATTGAAGCCTTGAGCCGCCCAAGCCGGTACCCGTCCAATGCCGCCGTTATCCGGTACAACGGTTATTAGAAAATTCTATAGTTTCCTCGTTGCTTGCTGCAAAACCGAGTATGCTTGTAATTGCTCATTACTCAATTGTTTTCAAATGGCAGACATCCTACTAGTGAGATGCTCATGTTTTAGTTTCTCGCTACTGCGTACTATAGAGAAAGTATTAAAATGTGGGAGGAGGGCGAATATCCGACAGAAAAAATCTCTTATGGACAGGTCCTTGTGACGAAATCTTGGTCCTACATACAGGGTGAGTCTCGTAACTTTGGCACCTCCTATAACTTTTAATCGGTTGAAGTTATTGCAATGCAATTGTCACTGAAGTACACAATTCATTTCTATTTTATCAATTGTATTTTACGATAGATTTGAGGTAATTTTTTTCAAATAGAACTCTACCTGTTTTTTCAGTCTATCATGACGAGCGTAAAAAGATGAATCCAATGATATACATATTGTCATATGTTCAGCATTTTTTTAGTAATTTTGATTTTTTGCCATTAGTGTTTAACGAATGTTTTAAATGTAACAGTCCGCCACACAAAGTCACGCAGCGCTCCCCCTGCTAACGCACGCTTGGGGAAGGGAAGGGATCGTAATATTTGAAGATACGAAACATATTCCAAATATTCACAAAACTGTTTCAGTTTTTCCCTGAACTCAGCTTTCCATCCGTCCGCATTTTCATATTTTTGATTACTTAAGGATTGAAAATACAGATTTGTCATAAGTAGTATTATTGAAATAAGATTGTTGTTTGAACTTCATTTAAAGGGATGTCATACCACAGGATATTAATGGGACCTTGAAACTAAACACAATAAGAAGAAATTATTAAGATTGTACAAAGAATATTGCTAATTTTCAGAAAATTGTTAATGAGAATATTAAAGACCTTATGATAGAAAAAGAATGCAGGGAGGTAATGACAATAACTATTGTACAAAAATACTAAACAAAGGTACATTACTACGTTAATAGTCACATTACTTTAGCTTATTTTCAAAATGTCCACTATTCACCAACACATTTGCAGGCGCTTTTCAAAAAAGGTCTCTAACTGCAAGCAGTGTCTTTTTTAACATCAGAACATGAAGCTACAATGCGTCTACGCATATCTAGTAATGTAGTTGGAGCCTTTTTGTACTCGCTGTTTATATAAAAAAGATCAAAGAAAAATCTATTGTTGTCAAGTCTGGGGAACGTGGGGACCAACGCACAGTACCACCACATCCTATCCAACGTCCCGGGATCCCATTAATATCCTCTACTTATCAATAAAACGAGCACTGAACCATCAACGTCAACAATTAAAAGAAGACTGAAAGCTGCAAAATTGAACGAGATGCTAGAAAGAAACCACGAGTTTAAAAAACAAACATTAAGATGATGTTGGCTTTTTGTAACAAATATAAGAATAATGACCCCTCCTTTACTAAGTGAACGAATATCTAAAGGATTACTTTACACATTGAATGATGACATCCGAAAGAATAACGGAAATTTTATGTATTTTAGAATGTCACAGCGATCATTTGACCAGCTTTTGTCAATGATTCGATCCAGAATAGAGGGAACATAATTTTTGTTTCAAAAATGTTTACATTATTTAAATATGAAAAATATATTAAACAGTACTTAAATATAAATATTAGTGTCTCCAGACGACAGTGACGTCGATGCAGATGTAGATGGCAATTCTTGGGGGATATTGGGGGCGAACCTGTTCTTGTGGAGAGAAAATTCTGTCAGGGCGTATTTCAGGATAAAGGAAATTAGGTTGAGCGGCAGTTCTACACTGTGGCCGTGGCGCAGTTTGGCGGGGATTCGCCGAACCGTCGCCCACGATCTAGCTCACTTCCGAGAAACCCGCCGCGACGAGTGTCCCAGTGGAAAGACCACCGTTTCAACCAATGCTCTGCTAGCGGTGGCGCGTCGCGTTATGATTTTCCCACTCGGGCTGGACGTAGCGAGGGTCCACCACCGAGCGCCAGTGCAGCGCGACTCGGCCATTCGTGGGAAAAGCTCCATTATCACCAATGCTCTGCTATTGTCACTCGCGCCACCCGGAAGCGCTGCTGAGTGTGTAGGTCTGAAGGGGCCCTTAGGTGACTGGGGATCATGATTGAGACCCTGATGTTCTTCCAGGAAGGTAAGGGAAAGGGAAGGAAGGCCCTGTTAATTAAAAAATTACAATGTGAGGTCTCTTTCATGCGTTACGGACCGAAGACGTAAATGTCAGTCTTTTCTCGCCCAACCTGCAAGGACCACGGACGGAGATTTCCGTCTTGGCACACCACTCATTTGCGAGACATCTATTTTTGTTTGCATATGGAGCTCTGTCTCAAATGAGTTGACACTAGCGCTTCTAGAACCTTTCATTGTTTCCTGTATCCCATGTTCTCCTATATCCATAATTTTGTGCACATAATTGTCGACCTGTCCGTACGCGCACAGTCATCGTTGGAGCTCTCTGGTAGCATGTACTTGCATCATTAAGTGCTAAACCATTGTTACGTTGCTAAATTAAACTACTATAGCGCTCCAAAGCGCCAAACGGTGTATATATGGGCATGTTTGTTCTAACAGAAGTAGCAAAACCGTTTGACTTTGGCTGCATATGCCCCGTTAACATCCGTTATATTCGCAGGTTATATTCGTAAACGAATATTTCAGATATGAAAAATAACCTCGAAATTGGCTGTTTCGTTTTTGGAAGAGTGGGGTCAAATGGGAAGTACAATTTTGCAGTAAGGTGACTGAAGTTAAAATTTATTACATCAACACCAGCGTGTCCATGCAACACCGCGTGAAAATGACTGAGTACGGGGGAAGGGTGGCGTTCCGAGGCGGTGGTCCGCAATGTGTTAAAGGCAATTTGAACATTTTCTTTCATCACTTCTAGGTGTATACTAAATTACAATAGTATGCATTTTTCTATTGCTCAGCAGTGTTATAAATTCATTCATTTTTCCTCACTTAATATGCCGTATAACGTATGTATATGATAATGAATTACGTATTTCGAATTATTGAAAACTCTACCATGGGTGGCAAATACATGAATGAATACAACTTTTTTTCAGGAAAATAGTGCATGATTTATTGCCTTAAAACGTAAATTTTATGTCATACTTTCAAATAAAGAGCAAAATCAATGTTAAATCATATTTAGTAATTACATTTCAAGTACTTACAGTTTGAAAACAAAACGCCCTGCAGAGAAATTTTCCAAATGTTTATGGCCAGATTGACTTATTTTGAAAATCTTTCCTGAAATCAGATCATAATTACAGATTTTATTGTCGTTTTTTATTCTGCGAAAATATTAAAAAGTTTTCTCCTGAACATTAGAACTTTTCACGTTGTCCTCAATCAGCAACATACGCACGAAGGGGAGGCATTCTCGACTGTTACCTCACTGAAAAGAGTTACCTCGCAGAAACCACTGAAACTTTTGCTCTACCTCTTATTCTAGATATCTTAAAGATTCGTATTTTCAGACTCTATTTACTATTTTTTACAGTTTATTTAATTTGAGATTGAATTAAATTTGATACATGTATATTTCTATTTATTAGGACTTTCGGAATATGAGCTACACACTACCATCAATTCCTGGCATGGTAATCCATATGGAGGATAAACATACGTCCATTCTGCTACCAAAAAACAGATATGATCAGGTAAGTTGATATAAATTATGGTTTTAATTAAATAATGGAAGCGTTTACAATACAGTATATTAATGAGAAGAATAATGCTAATAATAAAATCAATAATCCTCTCCTATTTTACATAGACCAAATTCATCAACATTTCTTGGGATTATTAACCATCATTTACCTGTGTTAGAAGTATGGTTTTTAATTTTTATATTACATTTTACTTTCAAAATTACCTCTGATTCATTGTCAATTGCAAACGGACCCCCGCAAAGGTTGGTTTCAGGCCCTACTGCAACCCCCCCCCCCATGATGACGGGTAGGTCGGTGCCCAGATCTGACGATCTAGGAGGAGGAGGAGGAGGAGGAGGTTGTGTTTCGGTGTTTCTTGTTAGTAATGCCATGCGCGACAACTACCGAGGTCATTAGTCCTGTAAGTGTAGTGTATATGTTTCCTCTGGAGGGGACGATGATCTCCCGCTGGGTGACGAGATTCGGCACCGGCCTTCGTCTGCTAGCGAGGTTTCTTTCAACCAGGTATCTCCCACCAGCGGGGCACCGCCCCGATCTCTCGGCATGTGTGGTAGTGTAGTGCATGTTAGTGTGTGTGTAAGAGGTGAGGATAAGACAAGGAAGAGAAAGGAAAGATCGTGCTCCGTCCGTGGCCCGTTTGTGGGGTACTGCTCCAGCATTGGCCTGGTGTTGATCATCCGGTAGCCGGCCTCTAGAATTCACCTCCAGACAGCGACTGAATTCGACCTAACTGACAAGCTAGTGTTGAAAATCTTGCCACTATCGGGGCTCGAACCTAGAACCTCCCGGTCAGAGGCCGCCGCCCGAAAACACTAAACAACCAATTAATCAATCAGTTCCGATGAAACAAATTAACCCTAGAGTGAGCGCGTTGATTTCTGAGACACCCCAGCCCTGTTTCGGAGCGTATTGAAATTTTAGAAATGTTTATAATCATTCAAGCCTCATCCTGTCCTTCGAGGATAGCTTTATGCACGTAACTGGCCACGTATCTTCCGGCTGCTTCTGGTCCTTTCGGAGAAATTTCGTGGCAAAGGACGTGTTACGCGGAGTGGAGCCACTTGGTCACCCCGTCTGCCTTGTCCCGCGCTCCTTGCCACGCAGTTCACTGCAGTGGGCGATCCAGACCCACAGTAGGCGATTTCACTTCCAGTCGCCCAGCAAGGTAGACAGGATATTCCATGTAAAAAAGGATGTTATCTTATCCTATTTCTCAGAATTTAAAAGCATTTTACCATGTTACCTCCATCAACCAGATACAATATTTTTGTCTCACATCAGCCATTATTTAGCTCAAATGGGCACTTGGAATGTTAGATTAGTAGTGTGAACACCTTTATGCTTTTTTCCGATGATATAAAACGAGCAAAAATGTGAATGCGACACATATTTAAAGAAAAAAATGTAAAGGATAATTTCCATGGATGATATTTTTTACTGAGTTCAACAATTAGTATTTTGTACTGATTTTCAACAATTAGGAAGTAAACAGATTTTAAAAAATGCAATATATAGAAATGTAATATTTTTAAATTCTTGAATTTTAGAAGACAAATTGTTGAAACTACTTTCTCACCACTTTGAAAATTTAATCATGGAATGTTCAATGGTTTTAAAGTTATAGATTAAATTATTTTACCGACTCTTCATAAACGAACTCACCTCAGCTGCTGCAGCCGATGCGCCACAGCACTCTTCGTCAGGACCCGGCGGTACGTTTTTCTCCTCGGTACAATAGTGGATTTCGCAAAAGCACTTTTCTTGGAACTTCAGATGATCTAGAGGACGTTCTCTCAACAATTTTGTTTCCAGAAACTCGAATCATTGCGTGGATACTCCCTGCTCCCGGCACAGTTTTCCCGCCTACGGATCTACCTGTATTTAAAAGCGCTGCCTCTGCTTCATTTTCCTCTTGGCTGGTAAAAATTAAATAGATTTATTTCATATTACTCTTCGCAAATTCAAAAAGTTTCTTAAGAGTAGTGATACAAGTTCCTTGAAGGCTTGCGTAAGCAGCAACGCTCGTGATAATGCCTCTCTTTATCATCACAGGAACCTTTTCCGGGAAAAATGTGCCATTTAGCCGCGAGTTACTTTGAAAACCTCCTTGTGATACCTGACGATACAGATGTTCTTCCTATTTTTATATTGACCTGCCGCACCAAGATAGACTATTTTGGGCCAAAAGAGAGAAGTATCATCAGCGTGTAGTGATGACACCTCTCTTCACTTTACTTAGAAACATCGTATGAAATAATGTATACAAATCGGCGGTAATGTAAATATTAAGATCCGGAGAGAAATATAAAAAACAAAAAAATACAATTGTGTAAGTTTTGATAAAACAAAATAATGTAGCTCTACGGCGTTTTATGTCATTTTATGCTGTACTATTAGCAGAATCCCTACCAAACGTTTAAAGAAAATTGGAGCCATTTTTGAGAAATTTTTATTTTCCATATTTTTTGTAATGTATATTCCCAGCAATATTGCGAGAAGGCTACTACAAGTTTCAAAGAAATTTGCATGACGACAATGAAAAAACTAATTAGGGAGAACAAATTTCTTTCACAGGAAATTTCTATCTTCAATGTCGTAGTTGTGAGGAGACGACGGGAATTAATTTAACTTTTGTAACTTTCCAAAATATAAAGTTAACAGTAAAATTCGGACCGATTCAATTTTTAGAAGGAAATTTCAGTCCATTCTTACAACAAATTTGATGAAAAAATTTTGAGCCATTTTTGAGAAAATTTAGAAATGTCCCAAGTGTTTCATCTAAAGTATCCAGAAATTTTAAACAATCTTTTTCAAACTCACTAAGCTTTGAGGCATGCTAGATCGACTGGAGAATAATCAAAAATCAATTCGAAAAACAATCTGAGAATAGTTTAGATGCTAGTGTTGTTCACAGGATATTTTGGGGAGGGATCACTTTTCGGTATCAAGGGGCTCCAAAACATGGCTTTCCGTTGAAATCCGGAAATCGATTTGCCACAACATTATATAACTTTCTCTATACTACATATATTTCTTCGAGAATACGAGAATACTTCCAAAAATACGAGAATGTATGTGCAGTTGTAGTACCACTACTGTTTCGTTAGTTTCAAAGAAGGGGGTTGATTTGGAAAGGTGAAATTTTCTGTATCTTAATGATGGATGCTGATACTCTGAAGCGTGATATGGACCATAGAACATTTTTATACGGTTCATCATCTAAGATTTTAATCTTATTCTTAAATTTTGCCAATTTTAAAATTTTCACATGTTACGTTTTCCCTTTTGTTTCAGGTATCAAGAGCTTTAAACAACTCAAATGATCACGTTCTTGCTCTAGCAGCGAACTTCAGCCTTGATGCAGATTCTCATCTCGTGTGTATCCAGTCTCCATCTGATGATAGTTACCATACACAAGCTATTAATATACACAATAAACCTCGTAAAGGTTTGTTTATCTTTTCCAAGAATATGTACCGAAGTCATTTATATAACAAGAGATTTACATAGAACTTTATTCATGAAGGAGAAATATTAAGTCCGATGATCGAGTGACACAATTATTCCTAGTGAATAAAGCTCCATTAAATCCCCAATTGATAATCAATACTTTATTTTTAATTTATATTAATTTAATTTTTGTTTAGTTTTTAAAACCCATAAACGTTCAATTCGAGACCGACACGCTGGGCAAAGGTAGTGTGATATCTGGGGTTATAAAAAAAATTACCATTTTCAGTTTTAAGTTAGCGTCAATCCCAATCCCTTCACTCGTCTCGGCCCTCCATCTTTCTTCCCACACTTCTTTCAGCATGCTATCGTTTGTTTCTTCAATTTCTCAAAAGTCAACAATATTCAAATAAAATCACTTATGTAATCCATCACCTCAATGTGTACTGGTTTGTCGGATGCATTATTGTTAAGATATTTTAGACATAGCGTATACGATCTAAATGCGATGGTTGGGTTCCTTCGTATATTTAAGTGAGAGCATCCTGAGACGTGGCATGTCAGGTGATATAATATAAATGTTTGGACTCAAATTCATGGTTGCAGGCGATTTAAATCGTGACAGATTTCACCTCAATCGCTCGGGGTCTAGCAGGCTGAGTGAACCCTTCCTACGATTTGCTGACTGCTTCCTGCGACTAGGAGAGCGCATAGCCGGGAGGTCGCAGATTAATTTCTAACTTGTTGCTCAACGCGTCTCCAAGCACCTTGGGGGCGCTTCGCGCTTTTAGAATAATCCTCCATTAATTAATATAGTCCGTCACGTCTCTTCTGTCACTTGTCAAGAGGACCGCCAGATAGCATATCCGCGTACGCCCTCCTGCGTCACTATCCAGCGGCCAGAATTGGAAAGGAAATTAGGATAGGGGCAGGGTTCAGGACACTTCACAGGGGATGAACTAGCCCTTGTGAAGCAGCCACACTAGTTTTGTCGGAATAAATTTCACAGACGATGACGGAAATCGAACCCGGACCTCATTGGTGAAAGGCGAGCGACTTCGCTCTGAGCCGAGCCAGCTGTTTAGGCGGAGGTGACGGTGACGACCCGTAGGGGTGGGGTGGCTTACGTGGCTGACATGTTGTGGCTGTACTCTGTTATTTAACTTATTTTTCATTACTTAAATCCATTTCACAGGTATCCATGTCACGGCAGGAAGTCCTCCGTGATTCCTAGACGATGGGCACGAAGAATGATAATAATCAAACTCTGTTGCTGATTTGACTTTGTAAATAGTTTTTATTACACTGAAGAGAATTTTTCTTATCAATTCTTTCCAAAAATACTCATTTCATCTGTATTGAAAATACAACTTGTATACGTGTTAGGGTAGGGGTCACAGAATTAAGAAAACTTGTACAGAATATACTTCTCATAACACGTCACACACAGTATTTAACTGTTTTTTACGTTAAAATTAATTTTTAAAAAAATTTGCCTTGCTAGAAATCTGTACGTGATGTAACCCGCTAATATTGAGTACACTTTAAATGAAGTTGAAATAACAATCTTATATCAATGCATACTACTTACGACAAATCCACATTTTCAATCCTTAAGTAATACAAGAAATATGAAAATGCGGAAGGATGAAAAGCACAATTCAGAAAAAAATTGCATCAGTTTTGTGAATAATTGGAATATGCTTCGTATCTTCAAATACTAAGATTCCTTCCCCTCCCCGATGCGCGTTAGCTGGGGGATCGCTGCGTGACCTTGTGTGGTGGACTGTTACATTTAAAACATTCGTTAAACGCTAATTGCAAAACAATAACAATTACTCAAAAAAATGCTGAACAATATGTATTTGTATTTATGGGATTTGGATTCGTCTTTTTACGCTCGTCATGTCAGAACTATACCTGTTTTTTTAGTCTATTTGAAAAAAGTTACCTCAAATATCTCGTAAAATACAATTGATAAAATAGAAATGAATACACACATCAATAAGCCCCTTTCTCTCATGCAGTGCATCGCAATAACTTTACCCGTTCAAAAGTTATAGGAGGTGACTCATCCAGTATATGCGGTTGAAAATTACTTTTGTAGGTGTCTTTTAAGTTGCATGTGTTACTTATGTTGTTTATCATCTGTTTTCTAACTTTAATAAATAGTTCGAAGATCACTTTAGTCCCTAACGGCACTGCGGTCACTAAGATTACCTTTTCATTCCTCTATGGTGTTGCGTTATGCATATTAACGGGCAGTATTATGAAAATGACATTTTGAATCCTCTGGATCAATCCCCATCATCATTGGGGGAAAAACTAGAAAAATCGTAGGCACGAAGAAAAGTAAAAAATAAAAACGGCTATTTTAGGGAATTTAAAAAGCTGCACAAAGAATTTAAAAAGTTCGAGAAAGCAACGAAGACACCCAAATTACGAAAGAGGGTTCTCGAGTTTTGATGAAATTAGTCCAAAGCAATGCGTCTTGATTGAATCAGATACTTTTCCTTTTTTCTTCCTGAGGCTTTCTCCAGCTTTAGAAAGTGCCGATTTCGGCTAAGCGCCGGGTACCCACTACGTCTCTCATGGGGACACACATGTCAGATCCTCTGTTTGTGGTCAGCAGACCCACAAGGCCTTCCATGAACCATCATCCAACAAACATGCATGAAAGACAAGGGACAAACAAGCACACCAACGACGGGACTCGATCCCGAGACCCTTCGGACCGAGGCGCTGAGCCCGCACCGCTCTAGCCACCTTGGCCATCCAGGGCGGTGGAACAGATACCCTTTTCTGAATTAATTAATTCCACCGTTTAAAGCAACCTCTTGAAGTGATTCACAAAAAGCGGATAAACATAGACCGAGCAAAGATGATCATGGTTATAGCAAATGCTCAAAGATTTGTCGGTCGTTTCATCACCTACCTTAAATTTCAAACCTCATAACTGTGTAGCGAGAGCTTAATCATCGTATTTAAAATAACTGAAAAACTCACTTTAACACGAAGATTTATCATTGGCAATTACTCCGAAAATTTAGTTTCGTGAGCAACCATACATCGGGCATCTTACGGCACAAATGATGACGTATTAGCTTTTTACGGCACGGGTGATTGCGTATACACACGTTCAGCCAATAGCAGTGAGATAAGTTGAGAAGCGTGCTATCGCTATGCTATAAATGAAATTACATCCGCCAAGCGCTTATGTGCGTGACCACACACAGCGCATACATAAAGTGGTGTTGAAAGAGTCTGGCCTGTAAATTGAGAGAAGTCATACTTTTGTTGCAAACCTATATTTTTTTATTTTGTGAAATGTATATTAACTGCATTACCCATTTTTCCTAAGAAATGAGTTCTTCAAAAGTAAGCCCTTGACTTAATGTTTGTTGCTTGTTACAATTTATATGATTTCTGTATCTTTTTTTGCTGTAAACATGTTTTCCACTTTACACAATTTTTACACTTTACATTACACTTTACATTACACTTTTGTGCATATTTTCCTCTTTTGATTGCATATATTACTACAAATAGTTACATATATATATGAGCATATTTCACTGTTTTTATTGCATATAAATCACAGCTCTAATAATATACCATCATTCCAGTACAGTATTTCTACTCTCTGAGATCATTGTTTAAGATATGAAGATAACCGATTTAGAGCAATACCACGAATTCCATACGAAGGTAATTTTGAAAGTAAAATGTAATGTTCAATGATGTCAAAAGCTTATAAATAATCCAAAAATATTTGCGTATGATATACAAATATTATGCTAATCTATAGCATTTTGCATAATGCACATAATCAATGTCTATTATGAGTTATACTGAAAATGTAACTTTTTCTTAGTAATTGTCAAGCATTGTAATCTTATTTGAGTTAGTTTAGTATAGTTATTATTTAATTTTATGAAATCTAACAAAATACTTTTAGATTTGAATTAACATTGCATTGTATTGATATTTAATGACTTAATTGACTCCTGTTATTTTCTTTTTTCAGTTACTGGTGCTAGTTTTGTCGTTTTTAATGGTGCTCTGAAGATATCTTCTAATCTTTTGGCAAAATCAACCATAGTGGAAGATGGACTTATGGTTCAAATTACACCAGACATGATACAGGTATTAAATATTTCACGCAATGCACCCAACCTGGGAAAATGTTTTCATTTTGCACTTTTGATCTCGGTGTTGTAATTCCAGGATTTTCAGTAGTAGTGGTGGTGGTGGTGGTGGTGGTGGTACTGATGGTGTTAATGATAGTAGTAGTGGTAATAGTAATAGCAGTACGGGTGGCGGTGGAGGTTGGGTTTATGTTTGCGTCTTCCTTCACGTAACGTGTCTCCATACCATCATCGGGCATTGAGCACTTAGTAGAAGTAATCCTCAATTATGTTTTATTTTTGTCAAGACTCATCACGTTACAGTCCATGACTTTTATCTATGTACTATTTCACTTAAGACAGAGTTCCCTGCATCTATCATTCTCTTAGCTTTAGCATTTTCGTATATTCTCAACGGTGCCCGATATTGGAAAGGAAGTAGACAAACTCTTCCTATCTCCTGTCGAAGGAGATTCCACATTATGTCCTTATCGTGTGATTTATAGCCAGATTTATATTCACCACTGACGGATGTTTCATTGGGAAGACATGAGCCTTCAAGAGGTCCATCGTTCTCAGCGATATTAGATTATTCTAAATATTCACGTGTGCTCGAAGAACGCTTCACATTTCCCTGAATGCCAAGAAGTTGTTCTGTTGTAAATATTGTATGGTCGTTGACTGGCAAGCTTATTTGAATCTTAAGGTAGGTCTTATACCTGCGTTCCACTCTCTCCATATCTTGAAAACTTCTATGTCTGATCCCCCTTTTTTCGCTTTTGCATAGTAAAATCACATCTTTAATTCGTCCCATGTCCGTCTTTGACGATGGCTTCGAGTTACTGCTAACTAAGTCTGTAGGACTAACATCCATGGGATTGAAGATTCATTACATTTCTTTCTATCCATTTTGCTCATTGGTTGTAAGGGCAGGTTCGCAGGAACCAAGTTCAAGTTCATTATTAACTCGTAGGTTATATACTGTCATCTGTTACTGCAATCTACAGTGGCCTTGAGACATGCCCCCAGAACCCAGCAAAGGTCCCTCCGATGGCCAGTCAGCATTACTAAACCCTATGGGATTTTCACTGACTGCTGAACCAACTCCTTCGCTGCAACCAACCTCCTTCGCAAGGTTCAGGCATCCACTCTGATCAGTGGCCTGGTGTGCCGACCCAGTTTCTCTTCTGTACCCTCTATTGACTGATAACAGGAAGTCCAAAGGTCCATTACCCTTCCTTCTACTTACTTTCCCTTCTGCTTGCAGCTGCCTCTAACATGGAGACAGACGCAACATTAAGTTTTCGAGGTTCCTCTGCCATCTTTATCATTACTCCTTTCTTCTTCTTTTTCTTTGAAGATGCCGTTGAGTGGTGGCCTCAGGTGTATTTCTTTGTCTGAACCCTCATCCTCAACCTATTCTGCGAGGGAGGCTCTACCAATAGCTAGGCAACCACTCAGGCACCACTAGGCACTCTCAGGCTCATTGTAGTACTCAAGCTCTACCACCAACTACAAGGTTGTACACTCCCTACTTGGTGTTGTTATTGTTATTATTGTAATTTCTATTTTTTTTATTATCAGTGGTTTGTTTATAAAATTTTAGGTTCCGGAACATGCCTCAAATGAATTATTAAATTTGTAGAAATAGTTACATACTTATTATATAATTTAATGCATATAAATAATATTTAAAATGAGTAACTGTTGTAGCACTGTCTCTACATGAATGTCATTTCCAGATCTAACCCATTCAGGCACAGAAAATATTTTCTTTATTTTACGTGTTCCCAGTTACATTGGAACAAGGGTCTGAATGCCATGCAATACAGTGCAGCAGTGCAAATGCATCAAGTCCTTACAAATTACACAAATAAGTCTGGTGTTCCTTTTGCACACTTTGCAATGTCCTTGCCCCTTTTGCAGGTCTGAGGCGAAGTCCTGGTCCAGTCCTGGCTTGGAATGTAATGGTTCCACAGGGTCCTGATATTGGTCTGACAGGTGTGACACTACCACTCTAGAAACAATTTGTCTTGTGAATTCTAGCTGGTCCAGCTTGTCTTTTGGAGACATTATGCAAAGTATTCTCCATGCAGCAATAGTGTGTTTATACTATTCAAAAGAATAGGCTAGTATAATTTGATGATTTATTGATTTTATAACTAGTCTATACTGGGAAATAAAATGGCTCAACAAATCTACTCCTCCCATATGGAAATTGTAGTTTGAAATTAAAGCAGACTGTGGTGTTTGCACATATCATGTTTGACTTTGAATGTGCCTCTTCGCTTGTCGCAGAGAATGAACATCATCATAATCCAAAGCATGGTACACTACTTTGTTGTATTTCCAATTGACAGCAAAAATTTCTCCGTCACATTAGAAATCATATTTATATATATCTGGTTTATCTGTTTTTAATTTCATCGAATGTGCGTTTTTTTAGACGCACTTCTCTGGCAGTCTCGGTAGCTCAAAGCCCCCGGTTTCTCAGTTCAGTCAAGTCATAGGAAGTAAAGGAGTTGTCCATAAATAAAATGTGACTTGATAGATTCATGACACTTTCTAGTAAATTCATTGCTACCATACTACCCAGTGGTGTATCAGATTTTTTAAATTTATTCTTTCCACATGAAGGATCGATTTTTAAGAAGAATCCAGAAGAAGAACACAGCACTCAGAATTTGAACCCAAATTTAATGGGTTTTCCACGCAAGAACATTTTGCAGAAGTGTCTCCTAAAATAATGAACCATCGGCTCAGCGATACTGACTTCTTTCGCAAGTATGCCAAATTGCTACAGTGATAAGTTTACATTATCAATTAGGGTTTTTATTTTTCTAATTTTATTCCCAGAAATTTTGGAAACCGGGAATTCATTAGAACGCTTCATTGCGTTTATTCGTAGTGTTGGGCAGAAAGGATTTCAAATAGGACAAGCTATTCATGGCTTATTACACATATTAGGTCTTGATTTGCTAGGTTGTAGAGTGCAAAGCTACGACTAGGCGGCGAATATGGCTGGCAAATAATCATTCTTCGATAACATCCAGTCTCTTTCCTTCTACTCCTTTTATTTCACACCCCCTTGTATGCAGAACGCCCACCCACGTGTTTGCCATGCATGGCGACACGTGTCGGAGGGAATGTGTGTCCTGGCAGTTGAGGAAACGGTTTATTTTCCGACTACTACGTGTGCTGCTCTCTGCTTTGCACGTGGGGATACGTTCTTTACGTATTTTGGAGAGCATTCTTTGTAGGTTTTCAACACACTTGCTTTGGCCTCGGTCTCTTCTAGATGGGCGGTCTGGAGCTAACCCACTTCCGATCAATCGGCTCAGACTAGGTCTAGTACTAAACTCCAGAGTCAGCGGGGAGATCCACGGTGGGCAAGCGTTGTGTCATCCCCACTATATATCCGAGGAATCCCTGGCACTCCGATGGAGTGTCCCCTTGTTGGGCTCCGTGGTGTGAGGACCACAGGAATGAATCTTATATCCATCTCCATGGTTACTAACCCTCCCCCGCTCTCGTCCGCAAGGAAGAGGAGATATCCTGCACGAACTATTGATTTAAATAGTTTTTTGCAAAAGATGATAGACCGAAAATGCCTCGTATCCTCCTCACGGCATGCGCCAAAGAAGGTTTAAAAGCTTAAGTGCTCTCTGTGTGGTGCGAGCTATAGGGGAAGCATATGGGAAGCTCCAAGCGGTCGTGCGACAGAGGAATGGAACGAAGTAGAGAAATTACTAAAAACAAAGCTGATTGCCGGCCTCCAGGTGGGAGTGACGACGCACCTAAACTTGAACCTGTGCAAAAGCGTCGTAAGCGTCGTGTTCTTGAAAATGAATAAATAATTTATTTTTTCAAGAGTTAGGGCGTGACTGAAGTTTATAGGATTAAAGGGAAAGACGGAGCAAAGTGGTTCCTACTTGAACCCTGATCCTTACCTTTCACCATCCGCCCCTCCCGGAAAGTATCAATTGTGGTTTCTACAACCTCCGTGTGCGACATTATGTACCAATTCCTTTGCGCTGTGTCAAAGGTTTTGGTATACCCAGCCACAATGTATGTCGGTAATCCCTGCGTGCGGGAAGTGTGGTGCATCAGTGCACGATGCACATCCCTGCGTTACACCACCCAGCCAACTACAACCAGAGACCTACCTTTCTCCGGGAACGAGGGATTCAGAAGATAAAGTCACCGAAAAGGTTTCCTTCTCTGAGTCCAAACCTGTCACGATCCTTTTCCAGTACTTTAAAGATAGAGTCCTCAGGGGTAACTACGCCGAGACTCACATTGAGCGATCCTCCAGCCCATGTACATCTCGGTCGCCTGTAGCAAAAAAAGGGAAATCCCTCAACACAGGCGACCATCTCCAGCAGCTGTCAGGATGAATCTGCTGATGACGGAGCACCCCGAGAGTTCCTCTCCAAATTTTCAGGTGTAAAAAAAACTAAAAAAATAATTCCTTACAATGGCTGTCTCGTGGAATCTAAACGGTTTTCGTGCCCATTAAGAATTACGATTGATACTTTCTCGCCATAGACCATCTATAGTATGCTTTCAGGAAACTCATCATCTTCCCTATCATCCCCTCTCTCTTCGCGGGTTTAACATCTATCGGTTTGATGAAGATGTCGGACTCTGTGCTCACGGTGGTGTCGAGGTACTTATCCGTGACTCTGTTCTCTGAGGAACAAAACGTTCGAACCGACTTTCAAACTGCGTTCGGATACACCTACCGTCCTTTCCGCTAACGGTGAGAATATTAACATTCTTCCTGGCCAAGTCGTGTCACAAACGAGACCTTGAAGATGTTTTCTCAGTTACCCGCCCCTTTTCTTATTGTGGGGAACTTGAATGCCCACAATCCGGCCTCGGGTGACACAAGGACCTTCTCGAGAGGCAATACTTAAAAATTTAATTGACAACTAAAAAATAATTCTTCGGAAAACTGACGAGAGCACACATTTTCCCGTTGCTTCAAACACTTTCCCGTCCGCCGATCTGGCTGTCTGTAGTCCATCTCCCTCTACCATCTTTGAGTGGACTGTCCTTGGCTACCTGCATGGCAGTGACCACTTCCCCATTCTGGTCTATTTCGATATTTACGACCCAAACTTTGCTCGTACTCCTCGCTGGCTAATTCACCGAGCTGAGTATGGAACATTTGAGAAAGAAAAACTGATAGGTTAAGCCTGCCCAAACGATATCGATGTTATGGTTGCCCTATTTTACTGATGCCGTTCTTCAGTTGCCATCCCGAAATCATCGGGTCGCCCACGACATCCTCCCCTGCCATGGAGGAATGTCGACTATGCATTGTGGTGCGAGATCGGAAACGGGCATTGGCAAAGCTTAGTAGGTTCCCAACCATGGATTGACTCTACGGGAAAGTGAGGCCGCGCCCTGGAGAGCTTATTTCATCACTCTCTTGCCCGCTAAAGTAGTGTGGCGAATGGTTCGCCAGATCGGTGGAAGACTTCCTTCGTCGTCTGTCTCAGGGCTTCTGGTAAATGAAAAGCTTCTCACCTCACCAGAAGATATAGTTGTTGAATTGGCCTCTACGTGCGTATCTCGAGCACCATACACTACTCTCCTAGCTTTCTGAAGACCAAAAGCAGAATGGAGAACTGCTGACTAGATTTCTCGAGTCGCGTGGCAGACGATTACAATGCGTCTTTCTCTATGGATGAATTTTCCTATGCCCTCGCTTGTGCGAAAGATTCTGCTTCAGAACTAGACCAGATTCATAATCAAATGCTTAAACACCTGCCGGAGAACGCTCGTTCTTTTTTCCTCCGCATTTTCAACCTGTTTTGGGATGAACATTCCTTATCAAGGATTTGGCGTGAAGCCGTTGTTCTTTCAATCCCTAAAGAATGAGAGGACAAGTTACCGCCCAATCTCGCTCGCAAGCTATGTGTGAAAGCTTTTAGAGCGAATGGTAAACAGATCTCTGGTCTGGCTGCTACAGGAAAGGAATCTATTTACAAATTTTCAGTGTGGTTTCAAGAAGCGCATGTCAACCATTGTCCACTTATTCTCCCTTGCATCTCAGATCTCCACTTCTTTCGTGCTACGACACATGTTAGCAATTTTTTCGACGTAGCAATTCAACGACATTCTTCGCATTCGTTTGTAGTAGATTTTCTTTCGTCAATATCTTTCCGCGTCCGCCTTGGTGACTATATTATCCTCAAGTCACCCGCTATACAACGGTGTTCCCCGGGGATAAATTGAGAGTCACTCGTTTAGCCATTGCTATCAATAGTATCGCATCAGTAATTCGAGAGCCCGTGAAAGCATCGCTCTTCGTTGATGACTTTGGTATATTCTGCTCCTCGAAGAGCACGCAAATTATTGAGAGGCTGTTACAGCTTTCCCTCAAAAAACTTCAAGAATGGAGCGATAAAACTGGATTCAAGTTCTTCACCTCAAAATCCAGTTGCATGCACTTCTGTAGAATATATCACCTCCATAATCATCCTGATCGGCTTTTTTGGGGAGGGGTCATCCACTTCCTTTCGTCGAATCCGCCACTTTCCTTGGCCTGACATTGACAAGAGTTTAACATGGCGAAATCACATTCAAAACTTGAAGAGCCGCTTTCTATAACCATTGAATCTTCTTCGCACCCTTACTGGTAGATCATGGGTGCAGGCCGAGTATGTCTTTTGCGCCTATGTTGGACTATCACCCGTCCTACCTTAGATTATAGGCGTATTGTTAATGAGTCAACGTCTCCTTCGACCCACCGGGCGTAGAATACCTTACACAATGCAGGTATGAGGATCAACACAGCAGACCCGCAAATGTCAGACTATCGTAAGAATCTAACACGCTTGCAGAGAGAAGATTTGTCATTTCCAAGTACTTGTGCTAGAGAGCGAGCAAAGTGAAGCCTTCGGCGGCTATCTCTTACCTTAGAATAGTGCAGGAGAACACGCTCAACGGTAAGATCCGTCTCGCAACTATCGCAAGTAGGGGGTGGGTCCCCGCGGCGATGTCAGTGGGAGAAAGTAACCTATCCGAAAGCGTGTCAGAATTATCTCCTCATACCTTGGCTCACCAGATGAAGACCAAGGCTTTATATACTCCTCGACTCTCGTGAGTTTAAAATATGAGTTCTGCCACTCTGTTTGCCATGAACTGAGAATACAACTTTTGATAAACAGCTTGGTATCATTGTTGGGACTGTGAGGATATCTACATCAGTTTTCTTTGGGGCGAACGTTACTACCTGGTCAGCAATGTCGTTCCCGATTACCCCGTGGCCAGGGATCCAACACAAAAACAAATTATAACGACGCACCAGTAAATTATGAACTTGATGTTGGATGATCATTGTCAGGGGATTACAAGAAGGGAAGCAGGCGATAGAGTTGAGCAAGCGTTTTGAATCTCTGCAGATCACAGCTTTTAATGTCATCGATTCAGCGAACTTAGTGCCTACAAGAGCGCTTATTTTTCTGCAGTATAAGCGCTGGACGAAGAGTGTAGTCGAAGATTCCGTGTGCCACACTCTGAGACATTCTAAAACGAACTGAGTAGCAATACCTCGTAGGCCCTTCGGCAGCGCGTCGCCGCGGTCCCACGCGCAGGATCCACGTCAATCGGCGTTTATGGGCTGAACTGCGAGAGGCTCGTTATCTAATGGCAAAGAACACGCAGTCAGTTCACAATGGTCTCCTTTCTCGAAACAGTTGCAATATTTTTGACGCCAGGTTAATTTAACGAACGATGTAAGATAAATTAGTTCTTATACAGAGAACTATTTACTTTAGCGTCAGGATCCCTACAACAGCAGAGCTCACACTGCAAACCAAATGAAAATCATCCTAACACACGTGCAGTTGTTTACTTAAGGATTTTTCTTAGGGTGAACGGATAATGAGCATCAGTGCTGAGATGTTGGAGCATATTTGGGAAGAAGTGGACTACGGGGTGGATGTGTGACGAGTATCTAAGGGCTTCCATATTAAGGATTCGTTATGTTCATACAAAAAGCTTTATGAGTTCCAGTTTACAATAAAATAATGTTCATATTTCTAAGTGTATTAGTAGTGTCCTCCGTGTATTATAATTTTTTGAAACACCGACAATCATTTTGAATATCCCTGTGTATGTATTTATGTATAACTCTTTTTATTCAACGTATACAGTTCTCAATGAAAACGAAGAATCCAATGTTCTGTTATCTACTGTATTTTCAGAAATGTGTACAAGAAGTTTCAGGAAATGCCGAGACACCAATATTAATTTTGTTTCAACATTATTATGTTGGATAAGCAATGACTGAGTCAGTGCTAGTCCAGTATTAATATTGTCCTCGTTTTTTTAGGAACTGCGGTCCAGTCTTCATAAAATGAAAAACTTTATTGTGCGTTGTGGTCCTTCTTCTGCGACAGCGCCAGATGAACTTGTAGAAATCACATGGATTGAAGAAGATCGTAACTTTAATATTGGGTAAGTTATTTGTTTTGTGTTAATGCTGTGTTTAAATGCACTGGTCAACAATGCAAATGGGATTTTTTTCTTCGCATGTCTGACGTCACCATGACTTTGTCGCTCGACGAGCATTCGAAAGAGTGAGAGAGACATGTTGCACTGTTACCATTGGGGCTCCTACATATCAGTAACAAATCCAAGAAGCCGGGCCCAGATACTTTCAAAGTGAACGATTTTGTGGTAATTGGCGATGGCACGCTTGTCCCGAATGGAGCGAATCAAACTTCATTGGACACGACCAGCCCACTTTGAAGTAATTTTAAACTCTATGATAGAAGTTTTATACGTCATTTGCCCTCTGGAGTCATATTGGAACGGTGAGCTTTTCAAAATCAAAAATCGACATCAAGCCGCCCAAGCATTGAAATCGAAATGTCCATACGGGTTTAACCTTGTCAAAATGCAACCTTGAGACTTTGCCAAAGTGAAACCCAAAGATTTTCAATATTTTATGCAAGAAAACATGTTTATACATGGCAAAAAGCATTATATACGATGTCAATAAATTATGTTAACATTGACACTATTTTCCCCCGCATTTCAGAGCGAAATAAAACTCCCTAATGTAACCCCACAAGATGGGAAACTTTGTGACAAATTTAAAACTCTGTATTTAAAAATTCGGATGCTTAGAGTAGATCACTAGAAAATGAGCCTACCAAACTTTTGCAATATGTCTTTTGACCTTTAAATAAACTAGTGGTGCTACGACAGCATATACTTTGTCGCACTATTTCTAACTTTCGCAATTCTCGAAAATTCAGAGAGTTCAGCGAAAATATTTCTGGCGCCTTTTTTTAAGCGTCTTTTGCTCTGTTTCAGGAAAAAAAATATAAAGAAACGTGGGGTGCATGAACAACCCATACTACTTTCTCACATTATTTGTAACGGCTACGCGATGTTATACTACAACATGAACTTGCAAATGTTTCCAACAGGCAAAAACTTTTTCTCCTTGCCGAGACTCGAACCCAGGTCGATCCCTTTACCGCTATACCATGCACACACTCGGCTTTACTCACTTTTGCCAAAGCTTAAAAAACTAATGGTCTCTCCCATATTTTGAACACGCAATTTTTGAAAATTGTGAGACCATTGCTCTGTTCGTAAAAAATCTAAATAAAATATTTAGAGCCGTTTATGATAATTTTTTTTATAAATTGCATTAACTCCAAGTAGAAAATAAGCGAAAAACACTCTTTTTTCCAAAAAATATTACATGACCTTTCTTAAATATTTAATTTTGTAGAAGAGATTTTATTTTAGACAAAAATGTCTATATTCAATATTGTACTCTAACTTTATTAATTTTTGAAAATATTAAATTGAAAACTTAAGAATACAACTTTCCAAAATGCAGAGTGTTCGCTGAAAATTGGACCAGAACGATTTTTTTACCAAAATTTGACATTATAATTTTTTTAAATTGGGGCCGTTTTTTAGAAAATTTGATATAAATTGCATTTACTTCCAGCAGGAATTACCCCCATACTACTACATTTATAAAAAAGTGTGCATGACCTTCTTGAAAGATCTGACTTATTAAAACAGATTTTTATGTAAGACAAAAATCCCTATCTTCAATATTGTTATGTTGCAATATTCATTTTTTTGCAATTTTCGGAAATTCAGTGAGTTTAAGCAAGTTTAGAGGTGGGCATTTTTAAGGTCCTTTATGGCGTTTAGTCGCGTTTTATCCAAAAATCAAAGTATCCACTTCAAAATCACAGGTCCTCAAGTTCGTTCAGATCAACTGGGGAATATCAATTTTAGAGAAAATAGTCTGACCGGTTTAGGCGCCAGTGGTGACCACATAACGACAATTGTTAAGGAATAATTTTCTCAATAACGCTCCAATTTTATTGTTTTTTTTCCCTTCGAATAGAACGATTGACGCTTACAAAATTGAACAGGTCCCTTTTCAAGGATTAAATAATGGAAATTATCTTTATAAAATTAGATTTATGAAAAGAGATGGCTTGGCCGTCATCATCAGTCTCGCTATATGTGACAGAAGACGGGAGACTGTGTGTGCATTATCTTCTTTGAGAGCACTAACGTATGAGAGAATTCATTTTCTGCCATTAAAAGGTTTAAATCCTCGGATTATGATGTGATCGAGACATACAGACTAGCATTTACATGCACTTTGAAGAACACCAAAGTTGGCTATTGTTCAGCTGATGCCCAAAATTAAAGCCCAAATACGTAGCAAACAGCCTTTTCCAAAATTAACTGTTTTCATATTTTATAAAAACTGCATTATTTGTCTCTTTTGCTTACCAACAATCATTGCAAACATCACTGTATGTGTGTGTGCATTGAGATATATCTTTTTTAATATTTATTACATTATTCATCTTGCAAATGTTGACAATAAACGTATATGTATGTTGTGTTCATATTTATTGCCTTATTAATTAACAGTCCGTTGTAAACACCAGTTATTCCTTCTCTAATGTGTTTTACCTGGACAACTCGAGCTTGTTTCCAACAGTCTTAATGTCGTATAACGATTGAAATATTTTAATTTAACATTTCAAAGTTGTTGAATAAAAAGTAAAGTGGAGATACGTAAACACAGGTTTCACTATGCGGCCCTCAGATATGGAAAGGTTTCCGACGCCGGCTCTATCCTGACACTTCTAAGAATATTCTATAGAAATCATGTAGTGAACTAGTAAGTTTGTTGTAGTGTATTGTTAAGTTTCTTTAATAGAGATTACGATTTATTTTTATTAAAGATACTTTATTCAATAATTTTTGCATGAACTGTAACTTTATGCATTTTCAAAATACACATCTGAATCACAATCTTTGTTGTGATGTCTAGAAAGAATAAACGTTTATTGTACAGGATGTTCTAAACCCTCAACTATTCTGTTGGAAAGCAAATTAATATTAATTCTAAAATTTTATTTAACTTAATCGAAATATGCGTGTGTTACGATGAGAATTCCCTTGAACTATCAATGATGCCAATCTTTATTTAACCATATTGCTATTTTCTGTTGCTCATTGTATTTGTTATATGTCATTATTTTACTGTACATATCAACATATATATTTATATATATTTTTATTTCTTTACTTTTAGAGTGCGAAGTATTATTGATGGTTTCGTTTTGGATGGAGTGCCATCAATCCGAGTGCATAACGGTTCTGACTTTATGGGCAAAACACGCTTCATCCGATGGACAGAAGTGTTTATTTTACAGGCAAGTATTAATACATTGGGAATAGATTTTTTAAATTAATAATAGTAATAGTGCCAATCCAGATTGCCGAGATCGCCAAGACTAGTGCCGTGGCGATTTCGGACGGAAGGATCGTGGGTTAGAGTCCCGCCTTGGGAATGGGTGTTTGTGCATGTTTGTATTGTCTATACATCCTTCATTATCCACCATCATTATTCAATTCCATATCCTATCCCCACAGCAACTCTAGGGGCTAAAAATCGGATTTAGCACATTGTTCATCCCCACAAGAAGGAGTTGCATACCCTTGCCACGGGATAAATGTAAATAGTCCTAGACATCCAATTTGCGACCAATAATAATAATATAATAACAACAACAAATTGTCTGTATTTTGGCATGGCTTAGGATAGCATTTGCTATTACAGGTAAAAGCTACCGAATATCAGCAGCTAAAATCTAACTTTCCCATTCATTAGAATATTTATTAATTCTGCATCTTAACCTTTCATAATGGATCTCAATAAATTGTTTAAGCAAAAGTTCTCAACATTTCTTGACCTGGAAAGTTTTGGGTTCTGAAATTTTATTACATCTCTGATCCTTATGTCTGAAAGTATTGTACTGGAGGTAGTATGCTATTAAGGTTATTAATTTTAATCCAAAGTATTCTTTAAAATGCTTTTATTATTACAAACCGAAATACTTGATTTGTTGATTGAACAATGAATGATTTTTTAAAAGTTTTCTACACTCACATTGCAATAGATGTTAGCTGCGCCAAACAACAGCTAGAAAAATCATTGAGCAAATAGTATCGTGCAGTGAAAGGAAAAACAAACAAGAATGTATGAAAAAATGTAGTATATTACCAAATTTAATACAAGAAACTTGCTACTTAACTTATACATTACGTGAAACTCCCAACACCAATGAAAATCCACGTTATCTAGCAGAAAAATGTACCAAGAAAATTCGCTTCACATTACAGTATTCAAAATCATACATATCAATGAAATTTACAAAAATTAGTAGAAAAACATTGATATTTCACTTATAATGAAATATTTATAGCCAAAATGTAACATAGCGCATCAGTCATAAAAATGAAATTTTACTCTCTATCCTGCCAAATAATATAACGAAATATGTACTCACTAATTTCACTTAGCTACTGATTTCTAGTTGTAAAAAAAAACTAAATAAAACAATGCATGTTCAGAACTCTGTGATTGCATATCTGCAACATGTAATATATGTTTCACTCACATGTCAACTCTTTAAAGTGTATTTATTTAAATCACTTGGCAACTGTATTTCATGTGTACAGAAATCTGAGGCACTGGCAGTAACAATTAACTGTATTATTACAATAATGTAAAAGAAATTGATTAACCATAAATTAAGTGATTAATTAATAGTGATTGATTAATGATAAATTAAATGGTACTCTTAACTAGTTTCTTTTGGGAAAGGCAGGAGATGGCAGGAGTTCACTGAGTAATATATTTCAATAAAATAATTGTGATTCAAATAGACATATTCATTGTGAAGACTTCATTCTTGTGACATGCAATGAAAAGTCAATACTTACTGTGACATTAATAGCTCATCTCCACAGTTTCAGTAACTTTGGCAATGACAAAGCTCTTGAGAAGTTTCACTTCTTTACGAGAATTTTTCTCGCTCGTATAATGACATTACATTGTGAAGGACGTACCTTTCACCACTCTTTAAGATCATCTTCTTCTGATTAACTGGGCAGTTGTTTCTCATATTACAAGACATTTATAATAATGCCATGTACAATACACAATTTAAATTCCCACAATAAAAACTCTTTTAAATCCACAGGATCATGAACGCTCGCTTATTCTCCCAGTGTCCATAGGTTTTCCTGGTTTAAATGGTTGAAGTTGACCCAGTTACTTTGTTCGCACGCATGCTCAATCGAAGAAAAAGGCCCTGACTGCAAAACTTCGATTACACGGGATATTTAAGTTGTGGTTGGCTCCTATTTCCTCCAACTTAAATTCTAATCTATAGTCCCTAAGCCAATGTAAGTATGGCGGGTGGTTTACGGCACTGGCGGATTCAGGGGTGTCATGCCCCCCAAAAGACCTAGAGTTTTCGTTTACCTTATTTTATTTGCCAAACTTGATTTAAATAATTATGTTCGAATGTAATTATTTCAACAATAATATTGGGTAGTATCCTATATACAGTACATAACATAAATATAATAACAAATATATTTATTATTTAACAAACATCTACGATGCCCCCCTCCCAATGCTTAGCACAATCCGCCCTTGGTTATTTCTTACGTGAAACACATTTTATACAAGATTTTGTGTGAATGATTTTTTTTAATCAGTTGCATTCTGGTCTGTGTATCGTTCTTCTCAAGATCAGTCCATATGCATGCATTTTGTACAGTTTTTCTACTAAAGTTGATTTGCTAGTTCTGCATGCTTCCACTACCACTTCGTTTACCGCCTAAACCATCACAACACCACCTTACTACCGTCCACCTCGTCACTACCACTCCATCGCGAACCACCCAACCACCACGCCACCTGACCACCACGGAAACCACCATTCAATACCACAAAACCGACCATTCGACCAACCGACGACCCCCAACAAACCGACCACGACCCCAACAACCACCACGACCTCCAGACAACACCACGACCCCAACAACCACCCGAACCCCCAACAACCACCACGACCCCCAACAACACACCACGACCCCCAACAAACCACCACGGACCCCCCACAACCACCACGACCCCCAACAACCACCACGACCCCCAAACAATCACACCACACCCAACCCCACCACCACCTCCAACCACACCGACCACCCCACCAGGATTACCACATCATGATCCCTACCACGACCAACAACACGCCCGTCCACTCCCACGACCCCCACCACCGCCACCCCCACCACCACGAGGCGCCTTCTACTGCTAATATACCTCTTCCTACTACTTACTACTTGCTACTGCCAACTGCTACTGCTACTTGCCAACTGCAACTGCTACTACGTACTGCAATTGCTTACTACTACTACAACTGTACTACTACTACAAAGACTGCTACGACTACTACAACAACTACTACTACTACAACAAACTACCTACAAACTACTACTACAACTACGACTACAACTACTACTACAACTACTACTACAAGTACTTACTACTTACCACAACTACAACTACAACTACTACTACTACTACCACTACTCTACTACACTACTACTACACTACTATTACTACTACCACTATATTACTACTACACTACTATTACTACTACCACTTACTATTCTATTACCACTACTGATTACTATTACACTACTATTACTATTACCACCACTATTACTATTACCACCACTATGACTATAACCACCACTATTACTATTACCACCCACTATTACTAATGACCACACTATTACTATTACCACCACTATTACTATACCACCACTATTACTATTACCACCACTATTACCGATACCACCACTTTACTATTACCACCACTATTACCACCACTACTATACTTACTACTACTACCACTACTACTATCACTACCACTACTACTAGGGACCGCTACTACATATCAGGTGTCGTAACGTTCGGGGCCCGCAAGGCCGGGAACTGCGTACGCGGCCGGTTACAAAGGGCTTAGTTTTAGGAGATTTTTTTATTATTTAAGTTACTTAAATACTACTTGTTTGCTAAAACACTTGTATGAAGGGGCCCGGTATAAACATTTGGGGCGGTGTCCACACTTCGTTACGACTATTTACTACTACTTCTGATTAACTAATACTATTATTTCTGACACTACTTCTATTACTACTAGTTTTACTGCTTTACTACTACTATTACCGCCACCACCACCAACAACCCCACCCATTTAGCCACTACCACCACCACCACACCACCACCACCACGACTACTACTACATTTACTTCCACCGCAATTACTAACGAATGTAAATGAGTTAATACTGGATTGATTTTTAGCGTTTTTATGCATTACATGTTTTGCCCATTAATGTTTATGATAAATAGTTTATTTTTTATTTAATATTCTTACATTTGTGTTTAGCCTGGTAACGTTGGTGATGGAATGATCGTTGCAAGTGATACCATTGATGTTAGCCACATTGCAGAAAGTTTAGCAGCTGCCACCTGTATGGCATTATGTGATTTTCTGGATTTGTTGGCACAGAGTGGTTTTACTAGACTCGCTGTACGAGCCAACATTCACCACGAAAATGTAAGTGCAGTTGTTTTTTATTCTATAATATTAATTTAATCGAATGAAAAAATTGCTAACGTGATTTGATTGGTCTGTGACTCAAGCTTCATTGTGGTGATGCATTATTGAATTAGCAAAAAATAATTTCTTTAAATAAAAGTAATTCTTTTCTGCATAGCAAATTATTTCAGCCATTGCAAAGTGCAATAAAACGCTCATAATTAGTCTTGAAGTTTGCCAAAATGCCTTTTTATTGTTCTTACAATTTTAAGACTTTTAACTATACAAATCACTTCTAGAGTTGTAGACAATTTTTATTATTATTGCTTTTTGTCTATACTAGCTTATGCTGCTTTTTTTAGTATTTTGCCTTGTGGCCCTTATTTTCCTTTTCGTACTTATTTCCGTTTATACTTTCTCGTCTTACGTGTGAACGTAGTAAAGAGAATGTATTGTAATGCTGCGGTAAAACATTTTCAAAATTTGTTAAAAGAGGCTCAAAATGTTTTGATTAAACTTTATCCTCGAGTACGTAGAGAACTCTTGAAAGAATGGCGCAGGCCTCATTTTCGATAAAATCCCTGATTTTTCGAAAGTTGCAAAAGTGCAAAATTTTTCCGCTTCTTCCTACAACAGTAATATTAAAGATATGAGATTTTTTTCCATTATGAAATTTGACATGTCTTGACAATGACTTCTTGAAATAAGGTCGTTTACAACCTTTTAAATATGAGTAGTTTTGCGTGAAATATAGGTAATTTTTAAACGATTTTCTCAAAAACTGCTTCAATTTTTTTCTTTAAATTTTATTCTTGGACGTATGAAAGGACGATAAAAAGTGGTGTTGGTTCCTATTGAGGCGAACCCTAACTTCGAAAATTGTAAAATATTATCGTTGCAATATGACAATATTGAGGATAGAGATTTTTGTTTTAAATGAAATTTGTGAAATATATTAATCTTTCTCTTAACCTTCGAGTGGGCTCGCTTGCGTAAATATTACTACAGCATATTTTTACTTTCTCGCGATTATGAAGGAACTTCTTAAGAAGAGAAAGTTATGTTCTGCTGCGCGAAATAACGGCCAATTTCCAGTAGAAAAAATTATTACTGGGCCCTGGTAACGAAAAGGCGATAAATCCAGTTGATAAGTTTAGAGAAAAAAATCCACTAACTCGTGGTGTAGCCAGAATCCATGTTTTGGGGGTTCTTGATACCGAAAAGTCGATGCACGGCAAAACGTGTTTGTCCGTCTGTGAACAACGCTAGCGACTAAACCGTTCAGCCGATATTCTCCAAAATTGATATTTCTTGATATTGATTGATATTTCTATAAAATTGATATCAAACGATCCCTACGAGCCATCTCTCTCGCTCGCGCTCTCTCTCTCTCTCGCTCTCTCTCGCTCTCGCTCGCTCTCTCTCGCTCGCTCTCTCTCGCTCGCTCTCTCGCTCGCTCTCTCGCTCTCTCTCGCTCTCTCTCTATCTCTGTCTCTCGCTCTCTGTCTCTCTTTCCTCTCTCTCTCCTCTCTCTCTTTCCTCTCTCTTTCCTCTCTCTCTCCTCTCTCTCTTTCCTCTCTCTCTCTCCTCTCTCTCTCTCCTCTCTCTCTCTCCTCTCTCTCT